CTGCGGAGTAATTTGACGTGGCTGTGACGCTCGCGTCCTTGAGTGAAAATAAAGGAGGGAGGTCCTTCATGAGCTCCTATCCATCCCTACCCTAACCCTTTACCACCCGCCGCGCTGCTCAAATGAATCTGATTTATTTCGATGGCAACAAAAACTGCGGAATTTCGACAACTTAAAAAAAACGAATGAAGGAGATTGCACCCCATAGAAAACTAATTATTTTACATCCAAGAAAAGTTTTTCTCTTGAGCAAGTTTTAGAAGGAATTGCCCTACTTTAACGATTGAACTGGCAGCAGGTTGCAAACAATTCTAGCATCATAAAAAAAGATAGAAGTAATTAAAAGCCTTTATTTTATACGTTTTTTTGAAGCTACTACATTAATAAAAGCGATTTTTAAAAAATGTTTTGAACTTGGAAAATTGTAAATCTAACAAGATTTTATTGCTTACAATTTTCTAGGTTTTTAATTCAAATCATGTGAAAGATCACAAGAAAGATATAAATACCTGAGTTATGTAATAAAAGGTAAAAATTATTCCAGTTCTAGGGCTCGGCTTTTTTTCGAGTGCCGTTAAAGAAAAACGCGATTTAGGAAACATCGTAGAATCTTCGACAACGTGTCACGGGGCAGCTGGAAAGCATGAGTCAGCTAAGCTGGCATAGTTGCTACTCGTAAGTGCATGCCACACATGTCTATATGTCCTTAAGGCCCACCCTAATCTGGGGTGGGATAGGACCTACTCCCGGACCCCTCCCTTCAGTGTGCCGAATACTTCACGTGCAAAACTCATCTGACAAGAGCATGAAAAGCGAAAAATCATCTGGCAACACTTTGATATTCGATAAGATGTTTGGGCGCTTTCGTCGGCGCTTCCTTATTGCTCCCCCCCCTCCCCCTGTTCCATTCCATCTTTGTCGTCATGCGGGTTTCGGCTGTTCGTATCTGCGGGCTGGAGTGGGTGATGGTAGTGGCGCTGGGGCCCGTGACGTCAAGTTATAAAATATGAGGCAAGTTCCCACCGCCCAGCCCAAAAGCCTCGAGTTTAGTTTAGTTTAGTTCGTTTTTCCATCCCTCAGTCCTTTGCTCCTGTCGCCGCTCCTCGAGTTGTTGTTATCCTGCCAGGCATGGCATCTCTTTTTTATTGGCATGCCACGCCCATGTCAGATGAAAGGGATGGGGGGGGGGGGGGGGGGAGTGGGCGCAGTGGGCGGATAAGTGCGTATGCGTGAGCGCGTAGGATGATGGTGATGAGGTCACAACTATACTCTGCAGAATTCGGAGTTGGACCTAGTTTCTATGAAGATATTTCTCAGGTACGGTTGTGAATACACAGACATTTTTACCAACAAGTCTTGGAAAAGAACAGTCCTGGCTTGATTTATTAAAAGCCTTTGTCATCTGCCTTAATTTCTACAGACTTACTGGATTTACTTTAAAAGAAATGCATGCGTTATGTTTTCAAATATGTTATGGGTCGGCCTGAATCTTTTAAATAAATATAGTCAGTTATTTGAAATGGCAGCAAGTGCTTTATGACCCCTATCAACTTAAACTTAACTTCTAGCCAGCAGTTTTTATAAACAATAAAGGTAACTAATTTTGGCAAGCCGAAGTTTAGATTTGCTTTAAATTATAATCAAAATTCTGAAATATAAAAAAAGTTTGATATTCTCAAGAGTAGAAGTCAATATGTCAAAAAACACCGAAAATATATTTTTGTTTTTTTTTTTTATCATTCCTACGCTAGCTACAGGATACAGTTGTCCGATTTGGCTCGTTCCGACTTATAGACCACCTGCACGGACGTGGCTAGATCGACTCGTCTAGTGATGCTGATCAAGAATATATATACTTTATGGTGTCGGAAACTGTAATCATTATACACTCTGCAAGGGTATAAAAATGTTCAAAAAAATCACAATTCCCAACTTTGAAATTGATGGTCCTTAAAATATTGGATTGGAAAATAATAGTTTCACAAGTCATTACCCACCAAGCAAAAAATAGGCTCAATATAATTCAGTTTTTTTCCGCATAGTTATGCACAAAATGACTAAATGTTGCAATTGTTGAGAAGATGCATGGTCATTCAAACTGCCAATCCGGCATTGCAATTAGTTTTTTTCGAGTCCAGCGATGCGACAGGAATAAGTGGGGATTGCTTAATCGGCCGGAATTATCACGGAAAATATTTAATTGTGTGCACAAGTTGCGGATACGCTGGGCGCTGGCTTAGCAGGCAAACTTTTCCATCGATTGTGATGCGGGTTTCAGTTTCAGTTTCAGTTTCAGATTCCGATTCCACCCAGCAGCCACCCACTCACCCGTATATCCACTCCCACTGCCACTTTCACCTCCTCCCTTTCGCAGCCCAGCTCTACCCGTATTGAAGCTGCGAATCGAGTGTAATTCTGCATTATCGAGTGCGAGCTAAAGTGCTGGGACATGGGACAGCTGCGACTCCTAATTGTGCTTTATGCCACTTCAGGCCGACTTCGCTGGGACGCGGATGTGGATGAGGATGTGGATGCGGATGCGAAGTTGCCTGTGCGCCCGAGATACACTTTCGAGGGCAGCTAGATTTATGTTTCTGCCAGGCGAACGCCTGTCGGCACTTTTTCCACTTGCCTGCGTTGCGCGTAATGTAAAAAGTTGCTCAAGAGCGGCAGGAGGATGCGGATGTGGATGCGGAAGTGAGTGCGGATGGGGAAACGAGGTGGTTGGGCGTCGCACACACACGTCGTGATGCCTCTTCTGCACTCTATCACTTGCATTGTTGGCAACTTGTGATAACTTGCGATAAAAACGAAGGCAATTGAATGATGCTTAAATGAAATTAATGGATGTTATAATAAGTTGACGGAGGCAGTGGCATTCCCGCCCCACCGTTTCTCCACCTCCACCACCTCCTCCCGCGGCTGCTGTCAGAGTAGACAAAGTCGAGCGAGGACGAATGCGAAGGGACTCAAAGCCGGAGCCAAGTCACAGTTGACAGCTGTCAGCTGATTTCTGCCCTGGTACAACAATCAGCTCCTCCTGCTCCTCCTGCTCCTCCCACTCTCCTCCTGCAAAGCTGCTCCTTTGCCAGTCAAATTGGGGCTGCGGAGCTGTGTCAAAATTCAATTTGCACATTACAAAAAGCCAGCTTCGCCCGCTCCTTTGTGGCAACTTCCTCGGCCACCACTTCCGGAGTCCTTCGGGGGCGCCACATTATAATTTCAGAAGAGGAGGGCGTTCGACCTTGATGAATTGCCGCTTACCTTGACGGGCGCCACATTACCTGCCATGTAACGCACTCTGGGGCGTGAATTAATCCCCACACGAGTGTGATTTCATTCCAGGACCCACTCTGCTCCCAATCCCAGTCCCCCTGCAGAGGAGAGGAGAGCCCTCAGAAACAGGACATGGACCCAGAACTCGACACTTGGTAATGCAATTACAGGGTGCCTAATGCACGCAATTAAATTGCTAATGGACGGGCCGGAGGAATCAAAAATGCTCCATTAAAACGAAATTAAATTTTCGTGGGAGCTAGGGGGTGGAACTCAGTCCTGTCCGGGCCTAATTCCGTTAAGTGAATTTCTATTCTCGGTTAAATGCGAACAAAGGTCCACAGTTCACAGTCCACAGTCCTCGGACCCCTCGCCCTCCGCATTCCAATCAAGCCTCGAACCATCGCCCATCGATCCATCATCCCGAGTGCGGTCGCCAATGCCCATTCCTATGCCCAATCCCATGCCCATGGCTATGCCTATCCATCCAGCCATCCATCTGCGTATCTTTGCATCTATATATACATATCTGCGGCTTTGAATCCATCCGGGCGAGTCCCGACATGGAAATGGTAATTGAATGCAGGGACACTGCAAGACGACTGCGGGCAGGAAGGAAAATTAGCAGACCTATGCTCCCGCCACTCCTCCACATCCCCCATCCTCCATGGCCACCCCAGCAGCGATGGAATGCAGAGAGCAGAAGTAAAGTGATGAAAAAGTTAATTAAACTTTTTGATGAGATTTCACATTTTGCCAAAGCATTGACAGAAGACTGACAGACCTACAGGGGGAGGGGGTCGAACAGGGGTTATCGCACGTTTCCTAGGACTTGACAATGTCTTGTCATCGATTCCCCCCCACATCTCCCCGAGAGCTCCTGGCTGGGTTGGCCAAACTTCCAAAATTGTCTTTGGTCACTGACGAACAAAGGCATAGGTTGCGAAAGTCATGACACCAAAAACCGCTTGGGTTTTTCGAGCCAAAGAGGATTGCATATGAATTAATTACCATGTGGCTGCCACAGAGGATCACCATGGAGAAGAAAGCTCTAGAGGCAGCACCACCACCATCACCATCGCCACCACTACCACAACTCCTTTAAGTAGGTCAATTAGCTAGTAGGCCTCTGCGGTGGCGCGTGCGGCTGAAAGGAATCCGCGTCAATATCCCCCCATTCCCCGGATGGTTCATTTTGGGAACCAAACTCTGAGCCCCCAGCCAAAACCACACTTGGCAACCCAATAAAAGGCACCCACCCAATCGTAAAACAAGTTCGGAAGGTGGCTAATCTGCAATTAATTGCCACACATCTGTACACAAGACACGCACGAGCTGAGATTGAGATTTTGATTGGGAGTGGTGGTGGGGGTGGGATTGGGATTGGAATTGGGACCAGAACTGGGACCAGGAGCTGGAGCAGAAGCGGTTTTACGGCGAGGATAGTCGGTCAGGTATTCAAATGAACTGGGATTAAAATGCAGTGAGCAAAGTGAAGCATATTTCCCAGGACAGCTACAGTACTGACAAAAATGAACCAGAAATTATACTCGTTTGCAATTTTCAATATCTATTTAACATTTTTCTAGCAAGATTACACCCTTTTCTGTGTATTTCCTCTGTGTATTAACCACTTTACACATATTTGAATTTATCAAATCGTCTTTCTTGGCGTTTACCCTTAGCTAATCATTATCTAATGAAATGTTCTTTCTATCCCCCAGCCATTCTGAGCACGCTGTGCAAGGAGTTCCTGCGCGTGAACGTGTCGGCTATCCTGTACATGATGAACAACGAACAGTTTGGACACAGTACCGCCTCGGCGCAGTACTTCCTCCAGTTGGCCGGCTACCTGGGCATTCCGGTAATCTCGTGGAACGCCGACAACTCGGGCCTGGAGCGACGGGCCTCGCAGTCCACCCTCCAGCTGCAGTTGGCCCCGAGCATCGAGCACCAGAGTGCCGCCATGCTGAGCATCCTGGAGCGCTACAAGTGGCACCAGTTCTCGGTGGTCACCTCGCAGATAGCTGGCCACGATGACTTCGTGCAGGCGGTGCGGGAGCGTGTGGCCGAGATGCAGGAGCACTTCAAGTTCACCATCCTCAACTCAATCGTGGTCACGCGGACCAGCGATCTCATGGAGCTGGTCAACAGCGAGGCCCGGGTGATGCTGCTCTATGCCACGCAGACGGAGGCCATCACCATCCTGCGGGCCGCCGAGGAGATGAAGCTCACCGGGGAGAATTACGTCTGGGTGGTGAGTCAGTCGGTCATCGAGAAGAAGGACGCCCACTCGCAGTTCCCCGTCGGCATGCTGGGCGTCCACTTTGACACCTCCAGTGCGGCGCTAATGAACGAGATCTCCAACGCCATCAAGATCTACAGCTACGGGGTGGAGGCCTACCTCACGGATCCGGCCAACCGGGATCGCCGCCTGACCACCCAGTCGCTGTCCTGCGAGGACGAGGGTCGTGGTCGCTGGGACAATGGAGAAATGTAAGTGGTGATTGGTGAATCCATCCCCTCCTTAGCAATCCCCTCTTTAGCGTGGTAGAGGTAGTCAAACCTAGATCAAAGGATCTCATATTAAGCTCCTCCTATGTATAACTCTTTCACAGCTTCTTCAAGTACTTGCGTAACGTGTCCATTGAGGGGGATCTAAACAAGCCCAACATCGAGTTCACGGCGGACGGTGATCTGCGCTCGGCGGAGCTCAAGATCATGAATCTCCGGCCCAGTGCCAACAACAAGAACCTGGTGTGGGAGGAGGTAAGTGGAGGCTTTGCTCGCATGCTTTTCTCGATCCTTTCTCACTTTGCCACTCTTACGCTCCTTACGCTCACTCTCCCCGAACCCACAATGATCCACTATGATCCACAATGATCCACAATGATCCACAATGATCCGCTGTGATCCACGACCCCAACTAATCCATCCGATCCCGCACCGATCAATCTTGCCAATCTTGCACCGCTTTGTACTTATGCCACCACCACCATCAACTCGATCCACCACTCCAATTGGGGCAGATTGGAGTGTGGAAGTCCTGGGAGACGCAGAAGCTGGACATTCGCGACATTGCGTGGCCCGGCAACTCGCACGCCCCGCCCCAGGGCGTGCCGGAGAAGTTCCATTTGAAGATCACATTCCTCGAAGAGGCACCCTATATCAATCTGTCGCCCGCGGACCCGGTGAGTGGCAAGTGCCTGATGGACCGCGGTGTGCTCTGCCGGGTGGCGGCCGATCACGAGATGGCCGCCGACATCGATGTGGGCCAGGCACACCGCAACGAGTCCTTTTACCAGTGCTGCAGCGGCTTCTGCATCGATCTCCTTGAGAAGTTCGCCGAGGAGCTGGGCTTCACCTACGAGCTGGTGCGGGTCGAAGATGGTAAATGGGGTACCCTCGAGAATGGCAAGTGGAACGGCCTGATCGCCGACCTGGTCAACCGCAAGACGGACATGGTCCTCACCTCGCTGATGATCAACACGGAGCGGGAGGCGGTCGTCGACTTCTCCGAGCCCTTCATGGAGACGGGCATCGCCATTGTGGTGGCCAAGCGGACGGGCATCATCTCGCCCACGGCCTTCCTGGAGCCCTTCGACACGGCCTCCTGGATGCTGGTAAGTAGCGACTTAAAGAGACTTGCTCTTGCTCCTCCTCCTCCTCTTCTTGTCCAGAGTTCTCACGGGTAAGTGTTGCTCGTTTCCGTCTCTCTCTCTATCTCTTATGAACCTGGCATAGGTGGGCATCGTGGCCATCCAGGCGGCCACCTTCATGATCTTCCTCTTCGAGTGGCTCTCGCCCAGCGGGTACGACATGAAGCTCTACCTGCAGAACACCAACGTGACCCCGTACCGGTTCTCCCTGTTCCGCACCTACTGGCTGGTGTGGGCCGTCCTCTTCCAGGCCGCCGTCCATGTGGACTCGCCGCGCGGCTTCACCTCGCGGTTCATGACCAACGTATGGGCCCTCTTCGCGGTGGTATTCCTGGCCATATACACTGCCAACCTGGCCGCCTTCATGATAACCAGGTAAGCTGGTGGGCTGGAAATGCCCATCCTTTAGGCACTCTCACCCTCTGCTCATCATCGTTCATCCTGCAGGGAGGAGTTCCACGAATTCAGCGGCCTCAACGACAGCCGTCTGGTGCATCCCTTCTCCCATAAGCCCTCCTTCAAGTTCGGCACCATCCCGTACAGCCACACGGACTCGACCATCCACAAGTACTTCAACGTCATGCACAACTATATGCGCCAGTGAGTGATGATGATAATGAAGGCTTAGCCCGGTGTTCCTCTGGGAAACTGATCCTCCACCTGTATTTCCCGATAATCCCCAGGTACAACAAGACCAGCGTGGCCGATGGAGTGGCCGCCGTGCTCAACGGCAACCTGGACTCCTTCATCTACGACGGCACTGTGCTGGACTATCTGGTGGCCCAGGACGAGGACTGCCGGCTGATGACCGTGGGCAGCTGGTATGCCATGACGGGTAAGGCCTTCCTCCTCTGCTCCTACCCCTTCTTTTTGTCCTTTCCCTCTTTTAATATGTGGCCAATTGCCCGCCATCCGCTGCTATTAATATCTTTACTCTTTGTTGGCCATAAGGTTGTCGTTCAGAGTTATTATCAAGTTAGTTTCCAGCCACACACAGCAACCATTAGCTTGTAAACTGTGAAAACAACTTGGCTAAAAGTTAAAGGCTGTCAAAACTTTTCATTATTGCTGCCAACACTCACTTATTTGTAATATAACATTTAAGCCTGGGCTTAAATTGGCCGTGATAACATTAAACATTTAATGATATTGTTTCTTAGGGAATAAAGTTGCACATAAGGTTGTGTGTTTGTAGTTCCTTTGCTTTTAAACGTGACCTTTATAGGTCATATATAATTAATCAAATGTGGAATAATTATGCATCATACATTATAAATAATATTTGTTCAACTTATAGACCCTAATTGAAAAAGATAGATATTTTTCTCTACCGACTTTTTAGCTCTATCTCATTTGAGTTTTTATGGGCAACGCCCTCATACATATAATATGATGCTATGGCGAGTCCCCAGTCCCCATCCGTATTTTCAATCTGGTTCGATGGCTGTAATTTACGGTTCTGTTCTGTTCTGCCACAATTTTTTTTCGCTTCAGGCTATGGGCTGGCATTCAGCCGCAACTCCAAGTACGTGCAAATGTTCAACAAGCGACTGCTAGAGTTCCGGGCGAACGGAGACCTGGAGCGGCTGCGACGCTACTGGATGACGGGCACGTGCCGGCCGGGGAAGCAGGAGCACAAGTCCTCCGACCCGCTGGCCCTCGAGCAGTTCCTGTCCGCCTTCCTGCTCCTGATGGCCGGCATCCTGCTGGCGGCGCTCCTCCTGCTGCTGGAGCACGTCTACTTCAAGTACATCCGCAAGCGGCTGGCCAAAAAGGATGGCGGCCACTGCTGTGCGCTCATCTCGCTGTCCATGGGCAAGTCGCTGACCTTCCGCGGCGCCGTCTTCGAGGCCACCGAGATCCTCAAGAAGCACCGCTGCAACGATCCCATCTGCGACACGCACCTTTGGAAGGTCAAGCACGAGCTGGACATGTCCCGCCTGCGAGTCCGCCAGCTGGAGAAGGTCATGGACAAGCATGGCATCAAGGCGCCACAGCTGAGGTGAGTCGACCATCTAGCCACTGGCGGATATCCAAATTACTCAAATTGTTGATTGTTCGCCTGCAGACTGGCCTCCTCCTCGGACCTGCTGAACCATCATCATCTCAAGGAGCGGCCACCGCTGCTGGGCAACCTGAGTCTCGCCGCCAGCGCCCAAGATCTATACAGGTGGTAAGTTTTCTTTGTGCATGCCTTTTTTCTGCACGATTCCCAGTAACCCGTGTCCGTGTCCCCCATCTCCATCTCCATCTCCATCCCACATCTCCGTCTCCACTCCCGTGGCAGTAATTAAATTAAGCAATTGCTTGAGATAACATTCCAGCTCTCGGTTCAGTGCTCGGTGCCCCAGTGCTCGGGCTTTTTTTTTCCGGGCCGGGGCCGGGACTCGTTACTGGCCACGCTAATGATGCCGGGCAGCTGCTACAACTGCTCCCATGTCTCCCCTTGGGGCATTTCTGTGCTTTCTGCTCTAATATAAATATATGGAAATGACTTTATTAAATTACTTTATCTCGGTTCCTGATTCAGCCCAGACAGACTGTGTGTGGCTCCCATTCCCATTCCCATTCCCATTCCCGGTCCCATTCCCAGTCCTCTTCTCCATTCCCTAACAACACAGAGAGACAGTCCCTGGTTATAGTCTTTAGTTATAGCACAATTTCCGACAGTTCCTGTTGTCATTCACTGGGTCCTTGGACCTCGTCCGTCCATCCCTCCATCCAACCAACCATCCATCCATCCATCCATCCATCCTTCCATCCATCCACACACAGGAGCTTGGCCTTTGTGTGAAGTGAGTGTGGGTTGAGATTGGGTAGGTCCGTCCATTTGCATACCGGCCACAATGGGTCGGGACCCGACTAGGTAATCGGATGTGGGAACGCTTTACGACCCTCTGCCTCACAGTCGGTGGGCAGCAACCCCTTCTTGGCAGCAGGACCAGCAATTAACGGATCAGGGCGGCCAGTAGCCGGCATCCACATTATCGTTTCCATCTCCAGTGGGAGCTCGCCACCACCACCTTCCCTCCTCCTCCTCCTCTAAATCCGCAAGTTCCCCTGGTCAGCCAGCCAGCCAGTGAGTCAATCACTCACCCACTCGTCCAGCCCGGCAACACAAACACAGTTTTGTGTGGGGGCCAACACCTTTATCTGTGCTGCACCACCTACCTGGCTGGGGTCAGGGATGAGGGGTCAGGGGTTGGTTTCTGTGCCGGTTGCACAGCTTAGGAGCAACTTTGCGGTGCTCCACTATGGGTTGCAGCTATCCAGCCATCCAGTCATCCTGCCATTTTGCCATCCAAAGGATTATAAATCTGTGCGAGACGAAAGGTAGCTCTGGGGGGTAGAAAGGCTAAGCCGTACTTAATGCCGATCAGCCTGAATAGCCACTTTTGACGCCGCATTATCGAGTATCGGAACTTTAATGCTTCGAAATTAAATAACACACGCCACACTTCATCGGTGTTTGGCCAAGAATAGAATATACATTTGGGGAACCAGTCCCAAATCAGTCTCTCAGCTCGTACGTGCTTAACTTTTCTACGTGGAAGCTTTTCCGCCCTTGGCTTTTCCAGGGTGGTCGCCGCTTCGAACATTTGCCAGTTCGACTTTCCGCCGTTTTCCTGCTCGAATCCATTGTTTGGGTAGCCACCCGCTTGTGTTTGTGGCTTGTGGTGGTGCACAGTGGTCGCTGCCGGAAAGAAAAGTCCTTTTAAATCCCCTCTTATAATTTTGGTCAGAGATTTGTAAGGCAGTGAAGGAGATGATTCCGACCCCATAAAGTATGAATACTTTCAATAAGCACAAACAGGCTTTCCCTCGTGCTCAGTTTAAAAGCTGCCTGGTCAGTTTTCTTATCTATACCCTGAACAATTAATTTGTAATATTCCAAATTTTTGATTTTTAAGAATTCATTTGTTTTTTGGTTAATTTTGTAACGAGTAGATCGCAGGCCCTTATAAGTAGGCAACGTAGTAGTAATAGTCAAAAGGGACGTTTTTCTGTCATGTTTACCTTTTAGTTCTGTGGGATTCTTGTGGTCTTTTCCCAAATTCCCGTCCACTGTATCTGCAGGGATGCTTAGGAGTCACACCAACGGACACACAGAGACATTTGCATTAATTACTGACAAGTAAACAGTCCGAGAGCTTTGCCAACCCAGTGCGGCTTTGGGGGGGTGGGAATGCGGTTCGGGGCTGGGTTCGAGCTCGGACATGCCTACCGAACAGGTGGAGCGTTACTCTCTGCGGTTGTCCGTTCATGTGCTTGTCCGTTGTCCGTTTTCCGTTGCTCTTGTCCGTAGTCCTTCGTCCTTTGTCTCTTTCACTGCACCTTGTGTGCATTATGGCGTGCCAAGATTTATCCAACACTGTGAGTGGATAGTTATTTATGTCGGCTTTGGCTCCATTGTAAACTTGGGTTTGGGCTCCACCTGGCTCCCAGCATCCTGCATGTGTGTGGGCTGCTCATCATTATGGATGGCAGCGAATCCTTTTTCCTCCGGCTCAGGTTATCGTGCTGACTTTTGGCTTTCATGTTAACCGGTTATCGCCCCAACACCCCCACCAAAAACGAAACTTTTTAGCGAATTGTGCAAATTAAGTTGGAGGAACCGAACGGGATCCGGATCCGTCCCAAATTGAGAAGCAAAACACTCGTGTGGATGCACACGCTTTTTGCATTCCGCGGGGAAAGCGTGGATAAGACTTCAAAGTCAAAGCCCGAAAGTTTAGCATGGAGGGGTGATAAATTGATGATGGATAAGGACAGCAATGATGCCCAGGGGAAAAGCTGAGGAAAACCCTTTATCGGAATGGAGCACCTGTCCGATCGTGTGACGGGCTCATCACTGGCACACACACGAAACGCAGAACACAGAACACTGAACACTGAACAGTGAAGACCAACCCAACCCAACCCAGTCACCTCCTAAGCTTGCCCCCGTTTGATGATTCGCTTTTCGCATTTACTTTTTGGCACTAATTTATTTACATGCGAACCCTTGAGTGCTCCTCCCGTTGGACTCTGATTGATTGATGATGCCCAGGTCCTGGGCCCCAGTTCTAGTTCCCATCGCAGTCCCAGTCCCAGTCGCTACCCCCGTAATCCCATTCCCGTCGTAGTTTCGGCTTTCTCTCCACCATTATGGCTAATGCTTTTGAATCTACCCGGCAACATCCTCGCATACTGCCTTGACACACATATCCGCATTTGTTGGCCATCGGAGCTGCCAGTATTTCAGTATGCACTACCCACTTACCCTACCCATCCCACCCCAAAAGAGAGCCTGATTACAATTTGTCACATTTTGCATTTGCTGGCAGGCTAATTAGCATGTCCTGCACCACTTTATCCGTTAAGCATGCTTGGTGTGAAGTAGCAGTAGCATATAGATGATGTACTATATCTATCTAGATACTATGTGTCCCAAATCCGAATCCTCCAGCTAACACTCGGGGCACACCCCGTTCTCTCTCTTCCCACAAAAAAAAACACCGAAATGGATCGTAGGTCGTACAAGACGGAAATCGCCGAGATGGAGACGGTGCTCTGAAGCGTTTGGAGCTTTTCGAGCTGGAAGAGCATCAGAATGAGGAACTGCTACTCACTCTAGACAGACACCCGCAATCGAGCAACGTTTTTAGAGTTACTGGAGCAATCCTAGAGCGAGTACGTCTAATCAAAATCAACGTTTCAAATAAATGTAAACTGAAAGCTTTCGAAAGTTAGAGACAGGGAGATACCAGATAGCGAAAGATAGCCAAGAATGAGAAATAGAAAAGAAATACAAAGATAAAGATACAGATACAGAAGGGAGAACCCAAAGCGCCTCACGAAAACCGCACACAACTCGATAATCGAGAATCAAGACGACGAGAAACCCTAGAACCCCTACATTTCCAGCCTAGGAAAAGAAAACCCAAAGATTGTATAAAGTTAAACTAAATGTAAAACAGTAAAACCAACAGTTAAACTAAATGGAAGCTGAAGAAGAAGCTACCAAAAAGCAGCCGCCGCACGAGTATTTCATAAAATAAGTTTTAAAGATCAGAAGAGGTATTAAACAAGAAGAGGAAGAGGAAACTGGGGAGATCAACCGTTACACTTTTGGCGATTGAACTGTTAACCGTTAACAAGAATAGCAAGAAGAAGTAGAAGAAGGTGGGGATGAAGAGGAGGAGAACCAACCCAGAGTTGGTTATGTTTGTATGTAATCCGTTTGATTGTTTGTGATTGTTGTTTCGTTTGTTGTCTTTTTTTGGATAGTATATACATATATTTACGGAATCATACTCAAGTAAGCGTATTGCAAGGGCATCCACACATACCAGCATACCTACATACCAACATACATACATACATACAAAGGAGCAGGAAGAGAAGCGGCACCGGTTGCCACGCCCATTATTAAATATACACATTAACAGATTTATATGTATTTACCTTGCTATGATTACGACGATATAAATGTTATTGCATATACACGTACATTTACATATACATTTAAAGAACAAAACGAGAAATATTTACATATGAATATACATGTATGTACGTACTTATATTTTTTCTGATTTTGATAAAGAAAATGCTTGTGTGCCGCTAACAAAAAGAAAACAAAAAGAGGAAGAAAAAGCCCAAGAAGAATCAAAAGAAATGGGGAAAACGAAATTTTTATCTCGCTAGGAGATAACCACACGACTACGAGGCTTCAATTTAGTTGCTCCTTTCCGCTTTGCTGGGCAACTGCTTGCCAGCGTTCTTTTGTTTCTTTCACTTTCATTTCGCTTGCTCGCCAAGGGAGAGAGAGCGAGACCCTACCCCCCTCCTCCCACTGTGGCCAGGAGCAAAACCAAATGAGAATTTCTCCTGTTAGTTCGACTCTCTTGCATGTGGCCTAAACTAAAGTTAGTGCAAACTCTCTCTCTCTCTTTCTCTCTCTCTCTCAAACACACACACTCTCTCCCGCATCCCACCCACAAGCACACCCACAACACACACACACACACTCACCTAACTAGAAAGAGATAAAAAATATTTATAAATGTGCATTGTTGTTGTGGCGAGCAAAACGTGCTTAAATCAGATTTAAAGTAAACTTGAAAATCGAATTAAATATGTACAAAGGTTAAACGATTAAACGCATGAACTTAAAACGTAAAAACGACGTAAATAATGAATGAGCTAAAACTAAATGATGAGAAGAATCGGAGGCGTTGTATTGTGTTGGTATTTGTTTATGTGTGTCTTCTAAATGTTTAGCGAGGATTACCAATACTCAAAGAAAGCGCAAAGCAAAGCGTACATAAATGTAAACGAAACAAATTTAACTAACTAACTAATGCAACTTTAAACACACACACGCACACACACTAGTACAGCAACCAAACACGCACGGCCGTTCAGCTGTGTGTGTGCTTCTTTGAGACTCTTTTCGTTAAAGCCATCTCTGTTCAATTAAACCGTTATACCGTTACATTGTTATGTTCCCCGCCCACGCCCCACTCGCCGTTCAAAACGACGAGAGCGGTGAGAGCGAGACGGCAACTGAAACGCAGTACTATAACTAGAACACTCGACTAACGGACTAACGAACTAGCGGACTTACCCGAAAAAAACAGCGAGAGCTGACAACAAGAACAACAAGAAAGACAAAACAACAAGAACAATGTTAACAGCAAAAACAAGAAAACAAAACAAAGAAACTTATTGAGTTTTATTTGCAAAAGAGTGATTTTTTGTAGTGGAAATATTTTATACACAAGTTACGGATGATTCGAGCGGAGGTCATAGCGAAATGTTAATTATTACGTATATGTATATATTTTTTAAGACAAATTGTTCAAATTTATTATACGAGTACTACCAAACAAAGCGAGTCAAAACACAAAGCTAAGCCAAAACTGGAAAACGATGTTGCAGACAACAATTTAGCATTAAAACGGATGGGAGGAGGAAGAAGAGAAGGAGAGAAGAACGACAAAGAGGTAGAGAAGGAGAAGCAGGGGAAGGAGAAGGAGAAGTGAAAACAAAACCTTTACGGACAAATTAAAACAAGTAAAACAAGTTAACATTACATTATATAAGTAGTTAGTAATTTAAAACTAAACCCAATGAAAATAAGCTAAACATCACGACAAATGATACTAAAAGCAAACAAAAAAAGGTTTATGTATACAAAAAAGATGTTTTTTTTTAATATATTATTAATGTTATTAAGTTACGAGTGCGAATAACGAGCGTACACACACAGTCACACTGTCCAGACACCCACACCAACACGAATAACGAGTGCATTTTGTTAGGTGTTAAACATAACGAGAAAATAAGAAGAAACGAAGCCAGAAAAATCATAAACATAAATCGAAATCGAATCAATTTTTAAACGCAAAGATATGTATGTATATCTTCTCGAACATAACGACAACGAATTCAGAGGGTGTCGCCGCTGAATTCGTATCTGAAATCTGAGTCTAAACCAAGTCTCGTCGACCGCCCACACCTGTCCACACCTGAGCGAAGGAGAGAGCGGTGCGGCACCATAAGGCCGATCGTATTTCAAGTTACTAAACACGACACAATTTTTTAACCACGCCAGCGAATCGAGCGAAGAAGCGTTTCACGTACATAAACTAAGCAAATGGAATATGCGTACATTGTTGTGGTAGTTACAGATGGAGAGGAGCATACACGTAAATTAAAATATAAACAAACCAACTTGCAATAAATGTGTATACAAAAAGGTGTCGGGTCTTTCATTTCTTTCCGAATGGGGTAAGGTATATATATGTTGTATTCAGAGTTTATCACTCATAATGTATATTCTGTCAGGTGGTGTTAGCTTAAAACCAAATCAAATTTGTTTCTCTTTGTTTTTTTCTGTTAGTTGACTAGGTTCGAAATGGGGTATTGTAAGAAACTCTAGCTAATCATGGATTAATTTTAATGCAATTGTAATATAGTATTAGCTATTAGAACAATACTCACCCACACTCCAGGAACGGCGATCGTATTTTTGCCACGTGCTCGTACCTGGCTTATTTTGCTTTTTATTACTTCCAGTCCTTCGTATTCCAGACGAACTGGAAAGGCTGAGCACTTCTCCAGGCTGTTTTTTCTTTTGTTTACTTTTATTTAATGTAATTATTTGCGAAACATTTCTCTATGCTGTTTTTTCTTTGGTTTACTTTTATTTGATGTTATTATTTGACTACCACACTTAAATATAGAAATTCACCTCTAATTTTACCGATGAGCCGCCAAAAGGCAATAATAGTCCAAGTTTCCAACCGATAACCAGTGTGACAGCAGGGCGGTTAACAAAAATACCGAAAGTCTGCGAAAGATAAAATTCCGTGAAACTCGACATGGTCGATTGTTGTGATATATACTATCGTATCGATGATATATCTTTTTTTTAAATATCAGGTAAATTATAACCACCCCAAAAATATCGATATATCTATCTAGGGTTTTTGATATTTTTTTAGTTCAATTAATTTTTTGGCTATTATTTTTATAAGAAAAAAATAAACAAAAGGAATTTTAATACTCAAATTCAAAACTATTGAACACGTATGTGACTTAAATTACGTTTCTGGCACTTACGTTACGTTGGATTCAAAAATATATTTTCATAAAATAGCGATAGTAGCTATTATCGGGTACAAAATATGACGATATTATTTATTTTTACTCAAAAATATCGATATACCATGAAACATGTCTACCTCCCCGATTCCGACCCACAAATCTGCCATTTTGTCAAAACTCCCAGCGGCATCTAGACGTAAGTAGCCCCGGTAGATCTTCTTTTCCTGGAATGGCTCTCCAATGGGGCTCCACTGGTGGCCTCTCACCGTGACTGGTGGCCCAGAACCAGGCTGTGGCACTGCATCCATATGAAGCCTCCGGAAAAAGCTAGATTCCAGGCCTTTCCAGCCGACACGTGGAATCGCCAACCCATTTGAGGTTACGGCCACTAACACGCGCTTCTCCATCCGCAGGTCCGTAACTCTTTCCACGTTAACATGTCGGGAGGCTTAGATATTCTGTCCCTCAAGGAGGACGACATCACCAAGATGTTGGTGGCCACCACCCATCTGGGCTCCGAGAACGTCAACTTCCAGATGGAGCAGTACGTGTACAAGCGCCGTGCCGATGGCGTCAACATCCTGAACCTGGGCAAGACCTGGGAGAAGCTGCAGCTGGCGGCCCGCGCCATCGTGGCCATCGACAACGCTTCGGATGTGAGTACATGTTTAATTTTCCGGGAAGCGAGCTTCCCAAGCGCGGGGCGTGGCTAACGTGATGAGTTTACTACTAATCTTTCGGGTATGAAATTCAATGATTTCAACTTCACCGCTGACCAGCCACGTCTCACCGCCTTGGAGAGATTGACCCTCCTTCCTAATCTCCTCCAGCCAGAGCCTCTGCTAATAAATCTGTGTCCACACAGGTCTTCGTCATCTCGTCGCGTCCCATCGGCCAGCGCGCCGTGCTGAAGTTCGCCAAGTACACGGACACCACTCCCATCGCTGGCCGCTTCACCCCCGGTGCCTTCACCAACCAGATCCAGCCCGCCTTCCGCGAGCCCCGTCTGCTGGTGGTGACCGACCCGAACACCGATCACCAGCCCATCATGGAGGCCAGCTACGTGAACATCCCCGTGATCGCCTTCACGAACACCGATTCGCCGCTGCGCTACATCGACATTGCCATTCCGTGCAACAACAAGTCGGCCCACTCCATCGGTCTGATGTGGTGGCTGCTGGCCCGTGAAGTGCTCCGTCTGCGCGGCACCATCTCCCGCAGCGTCGAGTGGCCCGTGGTCGTCGACCTGTTCTTCTACCGCGACCCCGAGGAGGCTGAGAAGGAGGAGGCCGCCGCCAAGGAGCTGCTGCCCCCACCAAAGATCGAGGAGGCCGTCGACCATCCGGTCGAGGAGACCACCAACTGGGCCGATGAGGTGGCCGCCGAGACCGTTGGCGGAGTGGAGGACTGGAACGAGGACACCGTCAAGACCTCCTGGGGCAGCGACGGCCAGTTCTAAGGAATCTGCATCAGAGTCACAGATGGCACTACACCAGCACCGCGTTTTGTTGTCAGGCGCCTCTGCCGCGGCATAAATAAACATCTTTTGTTTATATCTAAGCACCACGTGTTTTTATTTCTTCACTCGAGTTGCTTTTTTATGTATGCGCGGCGACTGTATTTGATTTCGTTGTGTACTTTAAATACCACGTTGTTGCAATTCTGAGAGGCTTTTATCGGGAAGTATGTCAGAGCTGCCAAAGAAATCTCTTCAGCGCCAAGCCGTGCAAAATTTATGTAGGCGCACATACGCAACTTACGCTGAATGGGCGCTCTGCGATTTCTGTGGCATCCCCCGTATATCCAAATGGAAATCCAGATAAGAACTTAAATTTTTGCGTAGAACATACATATATGGATATAAAGCATTTTTCCACGTGATTTTGCGCGAGGTTTCTCCTTATGATTAATAACTGTACGTGTTTAAGACAACTTTTCGATTTCAAATCATAAATCATCCAAATTCAATTAGGATTCTACCTAGGTCCCAAAATATTCATTCCTTTTTTTAAGGCCTTTATGTTCTTATGTATATGAACACATTGTGAACAAGTTTAGAGTTTAGTATTCTTTTTAATTTTGTTTATTTCAACGCCTTCCGTGGACAAGCGTAAAAATAGTGTTATTTATACAACATTACAGCAGTCTTTAAAAAAATAAACTCAAATTGATACTATTTTCGGTACCTGGCTTCTCAAAATCCAAAGTAATTGAATGTTTCTATCCCTCTTTGACTTGTGACTTGTGTTTTAATGGAGTCGCTTCTCGGATTAGAGGGAGAAAGCCAGCCCTCCGCCATTGCACTCCAATTTGGGCCATCGCAACACATTTAATACACCCATTTTGGTCAATTTACAGTATTAATTTATTGTTTTTTTTCGGCTTTGTACAAATAGAAAACAGTTAATGATCGCAATTGCAAATTGCTTATATTGTATACATATCCATATAGTTTAATCCTCCCGCCAAACATACGATTTTAGTGGTTTCTTATCCGCCAAAAAAGGGAACGAAATATACGCGTAAAAGTAATGTTAGAGACGAAAACTGTGTTAATGTGGTAAAACTATGTACCGGTGTAGTAGACGCGGTTAATGTGTAGCAGCGACTTTACATCATACAAATTTGGACAAGGTGATTAATGTTTGGTAGTCGACTGGTTCCATCGAGCACTATTTAAATGGATTCGGACGCGCCTTGAATACGGTCATCTTGCGTATCTCCTTAATCTCCTCCTGCTCGCATCGCTTCCGTTGTTCGTCTTGCTGCAAAGGCGGAGAGGATTTCGAATAAGCATGGTGATATACATGGGATTGTTGTGTTGTGTAGTTAAAAGATGCAGTGGAGAGGAGAGGAGACAAGAAGGCGACAGCTGCGACATTGCATTCTAATTACGACTGGGTTTTACATGCACAACTTCTTCTTCGGGCCGAGGCAGGGATGACTGGCCGCCTGACTCATCCACCGCCGTCTGGAGACGGGCCCACTGGTCATCGCCATCTAACCCTATCGGCTCAGCTCTGGAGCTTCTTGAGTCACGGGCGGGAGATTCAGTTTCATTCCGATAAGCCGGCCCTGGCGCGGCTGGAACGCTTGTGTGCCGATACGGGGACCATCACAGCCCACTTAGTATCCGCCCCAACTCCAGCTCCACCCCGTTTGTTTGCCAGCGCAAAATAGAGCAGCAGCAGCCGCAGTCACTTGGCTGATAAGATTATCGCGCCAAACGGAATTTGTGAAATATGGAAAACGAGAAAAGAAACCGAAAACGAAGACAAGGCAAGGTCGCAGTCACGAGTAATGTTCTAGACTTTCCCAACATGCAACTAGATGGTCCAAAAGATGTTCATCAGGTCTTAGGTTCGAAAAGTCTTGCATTGAAGATGACTGCTAGAGGCTATGACAAAAAGCTTACAAGGCTGCAGGATGTCTGTTGAGTGTGTGAGAGTTCAGTTGGTCATATCTACCATAAACATTTGCTATCTGGTCCGCTCAACAGTTGCTGCCCGCCGTCGCTACGGCAGGCGGAGAGCTCTGGACGGTCGGAGCCACCTGGGGAGCCTCCAAGCTGCTGGCCGCCGGCGCGGAGGTGGCGGAGGAGGGCGATGTTATCGTCGAGGAGTCGTCGGCGGCGGAGAGCACGCTGTTGTCGCCGTAAAAGCGCGGCTCGTCATGCGATTCGCCGCCCGGGGAGGCTGTCTCCTCGTCGGAGTCCTCGTCGTTGGAGCTGTCGCCAGCAGTTGTGTTGAGCTTGTTGCCAGAGGCGGCGGCGCCACCAGCTGCAGAGTCCAGGGAGCTGGGCACATGCTTTAAGCGTTCGTAGCAGGCGTCGCAGACGCGCAGCGCCTTAGTGCTCTGCTGTGGCAGCAGGAACTTCTTGGCCGAGCAGCCGGCGCAGACGACGGCGCCGCAGTTGCGGCAGTGATGCCGGCGCTGAATGAAAGTGAACTGCGTCTTCTTGCAGTGCATGCATATGCTGGCATCCGTGTCCGGCACCCACACGGCGGCATGGTTCTCCACCGGCTTCTTGCCGCTCTTGCGTAGCAGATCCTCCACACACTTGTTGATGTGGGCCATCCACTCCTGCTTCTCGGTACTGGTGGCCGCGAACACCACGAACGACTTGGTGGTGGTGCGGATGTACCAGCCATTCCTGTACGCCTGATTGTCGGCAATCGACTCCAGCGAGACCTCCTCCAGCGGCATGATGTGCTGCTTGTTGTACTTCTTCTTGCCAATCACGATGTTACCATAGACGAGGATGTCGTTGAACAGAAAGAACTGGCGCGACTTGGGCCGCTTGCGGCACATCTTGGTGAGGACGCCCTCGCCCACCAGGACGCGGCCCTGCATGGCCAGCGGCACACCCGAGCTGCCGAAGCAGCTCTCCACGGAAGCGATGCGCCGGGTGTTGGCCTCTGAGTTGACCAGGCGGTCCACCATGATGACGGCGGTTGGGAGTGGGAGTGGGCTTGGTTGTGGGTTCGAGCTAGGGTTCGGCGAAAGTTGCTGATACTGCTGCTGCTGTTGCTGCTTTTCTACCCGACTGTTCAATCCGACTCCCAGCCGACTCGAGTTGAAGTGTAGCCAACTGTGACGACAGACGGCCTGCTGCGATTGTGTGCGTGCGCTGTGGCTGTGCCCGTGCGTCGGTGTGTGTGTGTGTGGTGTGACACTCGGTGCCACTGCTCCTGTGCGCAAGTGTGTGTGTGTTTGTATAGACTGGGCGCAGCTGTTGCAGGTCCTGGCGGCCACGGCCACTGGGGATTCAGAGCGAATCGGATCGTTTGGGATCCTGTCCTGGAATGCAAGGGCGGCTGCTCCCGCTTTATGCAATGCACGACGGTTAACTGGCTTTTTCTACGCCGTCCGAAACGTCATGACTCACTCACACCACAGCAACAAAAACAAACTGAACAGTGAACACTGAACACTGTTTGCTCTCTTTCTCTCTGCCTCGCTCTCGCCCACAGGGCACAGTTTTGGTCTTGGCTTCCTGGTCCTGGGCACTGGCAACTGGGAGCGGTTCCCGCTTGAACTCGATCTCGATCTCGATATTTGGTTTCAGTTTTGGTTTGGATGCGGGGGACGAGGGCAACAAACGGCCTGGCCAACTTGGAAATACGTTATTTTTCGAGCGCAGTGTGACCGCGCGCGGATCGCGACTTTATACGGGGGGAACCCAGTGTTGCACAACACCGCCTTACAGTGGGCGAGCAAATTTCAAAAATAACGGGCTACAGTGGGGCACTCAAAGGGAAAAACAAAAACATTGAGACTATCTAAAGTCGAACACTCTTGGAAAAAGTTCATGGTATAAGCGCGCACTGTACTTATGCTGACAAACATTTATTATATCAAATTAAACAATCTATTCTGAAGCAAAAAAAAATAAATAAATAAAACAAGTAACCTAGTTTCAATGACAATTTAAAAATCACCTCGACTATCGAACCGAAACACCTTCGAACCAAACGAAACGCCTACCCTGAACGAACAAACGGGCAAGAATATTGAACTTATTGGCTACTAGGACTAGTTGTTACCTCCTTCTTCTTCTGCTCCTGGCCGACCTGCACGGCGGCGTCGAATTCGCGGCGGTCGCGCACGCGCTGCTCGCTGCGCAGGTTGAAGGGCTTGGAGCGGGTGCCAGCCGGACGTTGCCGCTCCTGATCCACACCCTCGGGCACCCGCCTTTGCCATGGCTTGACCACCTCGGGCGTCAGGGGCACGGTGATCCTGTGGACGACCACCAGCTCGTCCATCCGCTTGTGCATGGCCCTGAAGTTGGGCATGGGTCGGCTGTGGAACTGGCGCGCCTTCCTGTCCTCCTCGGAGCGCCTGCGCATCGCCGCCAGCCGCTTGCTTTCGTACACATCCTTGAACTGGTAGGCCTTGGGGGCGGCAGAGGAGCCTGGTTCCTCGTGGTGCTCGTGCTTGTTTTTGGGGCTCCACTGGAGGCGCAGATTGGCGCCGACCCCGGGCGGACGGGCGCCCTGGTAAACTAGATGCTGATCGGCCTCCGTCATGTGCTCCTGCTCCTCCTCCTCCTCGTCCTCGCCCCAATTAAGGGGAATAATTTTTTTGTGGTCGCTCTGCTGCTCTTGATCCTGATCTATTGGGACCTCAGGTTTCTGCTCCGCCTTAGGTACCTTTGGGGACTCGGCCTCCGCTTTGGGATTGATCGGCACCACTTCGGACTGCTCCTGGGTGTTGTCGCTCTGCTGCTTCTGGGCGTGATCAACTGGGATCTCTGTGCTCGGCTCCTGGGCCTCGGTTTTAAGTTCCTCTTTGGGTTCCGAGGGACAGGACGGGAGGTCGTTACTCTGCTGCTCCTGGCCGTGATCAATTGTGATCTCTGTCTTCGGCTCCTGGGGCTCCGGTTTGGGATTTTTTTGGGGCTCCTCTGACACCGATGCGAACTGCTCCCGGCAGATCTTCTGCGGTGTGGGACAGGAGAGTAGGTAGTTGACATTAACATTGCTGAGGCGCCTGTGGTTCTCCTTGTTGGCAGCTGCTGCAGGGAAAAACGGAAAATGGTCAGGAAAAGTCGACCAAAATTGGCGCCATTTCTCAGCTTGGTGGCGGGGAAGCCTGCATACGCACCGAAAAAGTTCTGCGAGTGATCCAACTGGTAGTCGCCCACGTTGATGGCGTCCCAGTCGAACTCCTGCTTGTCGAAAGTTGAGTTCATGGGGTCCATGACGAATAAAAATTAGATTTCCACAACCGAGCAATTAAATTCAAACACAAATCTCTACTAGCCACTCGGAATACACAATTGAATTGGGAGTTTTGCAACACTGACTGCTCGGACGATATATATCGATTGTTCTGGCCCAGCGCGCATTTTAATTTGCGGATGTTCCAATTTCAGTAAAAATATTTAGTATTACGAACAGAGCTCGTATTTTTATACATAAATACAAATATTTAGTGATGTACAAATGAATTGTATGTATTATTAAGGTTTTTTGATCAGCAAGGTATTTATTAAACATGGCAAGCACTATTTATCAGTTTAAATAAACTATAAAAATAACAATTGAATGTTGAATGTCCTACTAAAGGATTACTTATTTTGGGATTTTATTAAAAAGATAATGTTTCGATCATCACCTATTCGAATAAACATAAAACATAATACTATGCATTTTCAATCCCCGAACCCTATTTCAAGCTGATGTCCTGTCGAAGCTCGTTTTCAAAGCTTTTTCTCAAAGCAAGCAATGTTTGTCAAAAGTTAAGTTGCCCGAGGGAGCGTACGTACATACATACATATTCACCCCATGCACCGTTGACGGGATGTGGCCTCCTGTGGGACAGGACACCTGTGTGCACCTGTCGCTCCTCGGAAGCCCATCGAAAGCTGGCCAAGCAAGCTTTGGCTGAAAGCTGTGCTTCCACGGCCAGTTGCCAGTTGGCGTTGGCGTTGGCGTTGGCGGCGGCCAACTCGTGTGCAGTCCGGCAGTCCGTGCTGGGCAGCGCATGGCAACAGGTCGGGCAGCGCAACGCCCGCATCCGTAGCCACATCCTCGAAGGCGCAATCTGAATCGGCAACTGAATCTGAATCCGAAATCGGCATCCTCGTGGACGCCAAGCGAGCACAGTTTGTTTTCCTTTTGACAGGACATCGGGGGAACTCCCGGGCAAACGAATTGCGCGCGCTTAAAATAACGGTTTCCCGCATTAATTCTTCAGCATCCTTGGAGTGTCGCATCCGAATCGCAGAGCCCTTTTTAGGCGGGCGTCGGGGCGGAAATGCGTGCCGCGCCTCTGCCACCGCCTCTGCAATTAGCCGGATCCGGTGAACAGGTGAGCGGGCGGAGCAGGTGGCATTGGCTATTTTTAAGTCCTGCAGCACACACTGGGCAGAGGCAGATGTGTGATGTGCAGCTAATTACGGCCAGCTTTAATTGGAAGCTGTCCTTGTCCCTGCCCAATGTCCTTGTCCTTGTCCTTGTCCAAGGAGTGCATCTGGCTGCACTGGAAGGAAAGGGAAGGGAATGGGCATGGGAAGAGGGGCGACCTTGGGTGCATACCTCGTGGTTTGATTGTGGTCCTAATTGCCAAGCTCTGTTTCACCTCACCACCCTCTCTCCCCTCCCCGAAAGGAGTCTATTTCCGTTTCCAGGCCTCAGCTGTGCCACCTGAGCCCAATAAGATCTTGCGAATCAATAAAGGTTTAAATTTAACCGTCAGCCGAGGTAGATGGCAATAGCTGGCTGTGCGTGCATGCTAATTCGATTTGCCCTACTCCTCGCTCCCGCTCCTGCTGCCCCTGCCCCCTCTGCAGCCTCCACCTGTCCCTTCTTTGATAACTGTAACTTGTGCGTGCTCTTTGGAAGAGAGCGGAAGTGGGGGGACAGATGGCCGGATATGGAGACGGGAGAGGGGAGGAGAGTCAGGAGACAGCAGGCGGAAGCGAGAGGAAATTAGATTACAAGACATCACCAAAGGATTCCATAGAGTACTGGAAGGGGGCCACTCACACTTTCTCACTTATACATGTATATATATGTATGAATGTATGTGCTTACTTCGATCTCTGTTCTGTTGTTCCCTTCCAGTGGCGTTGGACGGTGGGCGAGGGGAGCAGGGGGTGGCTACTGTTGTCTAGCAACCGTTACAACCGCAGGCTGAGTCCATAATCCGATTAGTGCGAGAAGGACACCAGATTGCAGGAATGAGATGCTGCACCCCCACCTCCCCCGCAACTAATTAGCGGAGGGAGGGGGCGGGGGAGAAGCGCATTCCTGGGATGCCGTTTGTTGTTGTTGTTGCGGTGCTTCCACTTTTCTTTTCTCTTTTTTAAGACAGCCTGTCCCCTGGCATACCGTTGTATCCACCGCTTCCAGCGGGAATGCTCGAAATCTCGATCGGTTTGTTTGATGTGGCAACCAAAAATCCCACAAAATGTGTCCAATAAAAAAGGGATTCCGGTTCCCTCCTCCCCCCGCTCCACATCAACAGAAACACAAAATTTCGCCAAGAACGAGACAGAAAATCAATAAATCGGGATTTAATGAGTTTCAAATATTTGCCACGGTACGGGGATGTGCGTGTGTGGGTGTGTATGGGGTAGCATTATTAGGGATGGAAGTGGGTGGCGTGGGGTGGAGACCACGCTTATGAAGATGCCTCTCGACTTGAGTGCCCCTCCTCCTCCGTCCCTGTCACTCTAAGCCCGGGCTTACACAAAGAAGAGGAAGAGGCGGAGGAGGAGGAGCAGGGGCAGGGCAGAGAACCTTCACCCAGAAAAGCTCCAGAGGCACAGTCCGCTCATTTGATATCCCGCTTCCAGGCGGACAAGATGCGTCTGCTGTCCTGAACGCCCTGTGCCCGCTGAGAAACGCCAGAATGACGGGGGCCAACATCGACTACGACTACCTGCTCAAGTTCCTGGTCCTCGGAGACTCCGGCGTGGGCAAGACCTGCCTGCTCTACCAGTACACGGATGGCCGGTTCCACACCCAGTTCATCTCCACCGTGGGGATCGACTTCCGCGAAAAGCGGCTGGTGAGTGGACCACAAATAAAACCCAACAGATTAGAATTATCTGTTTGAGTTCTAATGTTTATAAAAAATAGCCAAATTCACCAAAAACAGTAAAACCTACATATGTAAATGTTAAACAAGACAGTTTTCAAACATTCTATGGAACTTAAAAATCTATCGGGCCTTTTTTGATTTTCATTTTCGAATGTTTTAAATACTTACTATTAAATCAAACAAAAAGTATTCAGTTGAAAATCGCATTTACAAATATTACCTTCAAGACGATATAATAATATTGTTGAAAAGTTATCAGTATTCCATATAAAACTGATCCAAATCTAAGTTATATTCAAAATAATTATTCGAAAGTTAGATTCTGGAATTTTGAAAAAATCTTTTTAAATTAAATTAGAAAGGAAAAAAAACTTTTCAAAGGTTCTAATTATATAAAACAAAATTTTTTTTAAAAGTTTTAAGGTGAATAATATTGAAACTTCTGTTTTAAGAAATGAAACGTTTTATATTTTTGTTTTGTAGGTTGTTGAATTCAAATAAGTGAAAAGAGGAATACATATAACTAGGATTATAATATCCATAGCTTACTATTTATAAGTACTATTCAAAAGGGTTTTTTATATGTTATATGAGCCCATGCACCTCCTTGCCCCTTCCCTGCAGCTGTACAACTCCCGCGGACGCCGCCACCGCATCCACCTGCAGATCTGGGACACCGCCGGGCAGGAGCGCTTCCGGTCGCTGACAACCGCTTTCTACCGCGACGCCATGGGCTTCCTGCTCATCTTCGACCTGACCAGCGAGAAGAGCTTCCTGGAGACGGCCAACTGGCTGTCGCAGCTGCGGACGCACGCCTACTCGGAGGATCCGGACGTAGTGCTCTGCGGCAACAAGTGCGATCTCCTCCAGCTGCGCGTGGTCAGCCGGGAGCAGGTGGCGGGCCTCTGCCGGCGCTATCGGCTGCCCTACATCGAGACGAGCGCCTGCACCGGGGCCAATGTGAAGGAGGCTGTCGATCTCCTGGTTGGGCGCGTCATGGAGCGGATCGAGAACGCCGCCTGCAACCGGGAGTTCTCCCTGCTCCTCACGCAGTCGCGCTGCCTGCCGAACATCGCTTACGGGCCACCGGAGGACCAGCTGCGCCTCCATGACCGGCGGGAGGAGCACCCTTCTCGGCGCAACTGTCGCAATTGTTAGATGGGTCATGGTCATCCCGAATCTCAAAACTCGGCCCGCTTTGTTCCTTCACTCTTGTTTCCGAATCTAAGTGTGTTTCGCTGTAAATAAATGTTGATTGTTGAGTGGAATGAAAGAGTCTTATTACAACTGCTCATTTGCACGACAAGAGATCCGAATCTTGTGAGACTCGGCAGATTTATAGATAACAGCTATCATATGGTACACGATGGTGTCTTGGTAGAAATGAGTAATTCGCTAGATGGGTTTACAGTTGGTTTGTATTATAACGTCTTTCGACGTGTTTTCCCTATAGCAGGAATACCCTTAAATATTTACATAGGTAAGTAGTCTACAGCTTTACAAGGTAATCTAGAAATCAGCAAGTTCTATAATATACAGATACACGATGTTATCTTGCTAGAAACGAGTAATTCGGTAGATAGGTTTAAAGTAGGTTTGTATTATAACGTCTTTCGAAGTGACTTGGTTTTCCTAAAGCAGGAATACCTATAAATATTTAGTCTACAGCTTTACAAGGTAATCCAGAAATCAGCGAGTTCTATAGAACTAAAACATAGCGCAGCAGCAGTGGGAGCAGAATCAGGAGCAGGAGCATCTGGGTGTTAGTCCTGGAGTGCGGGAGTGCCCCACTGCGTTCCTCTATCCACTGGCGGTAGTACTCAACGTCGACGTAGACGCCCGGCAAGCCCGGCTCCGCACATCCATAGCCCCAGGAAACCACTCCCACCAGCCGTCCCTCGTGGACCAGCGGACCGCCGGAGTCGCCCTGGCAGGAATCGGTACCGCCCTGCAACCGGCCGGCGCACATCATTCCGGGCAGCAAACCAGAACTGTAGATCATTCGGCAGGTCTGGTGCCGGATAGTGCTCACGTTGGCCGTCAGCAGGATGTTGGACAGGGAGCTCTGCTCCGTGCGTCCCCAGCCGGCCACCTGGCACATCCTGCCGGGCGGTGTGACCTGACCCGCCAGCTGGATGGGGGCCACTGTGAGGTGGACACCGGCTGGGGGCAGCGGCAGTCCGGTGCGCAGGAAGAGGATCCCCACGTCGTCGCGCATGGAGTCTGGGCTGAAGGTGTGCATGTAGGCCATGGAGGTCACCTGGGACACGATGGTACCGTTGCGCCGCTCGAAGCGATTTAGCGTGCCCAGCACCACGACGAACTCGCTGGCCCGGCGAAAGCGTTTCCTCTGGTTGCTGCGGGCATTGGTCTGGTCATTAGGGAGTCGGGCACCTCTCTCTCGGGATCACTACTCACTTGTACAGGCAGTGGGCGGCCGTCAGGACCTTGCTAGGCGCGATCAGCGCCCCACCACAGATGTGGCCACTGCCAAAGTTGTTGTCGTGCCGAAGGAGGCGGATGGAGACCAGGTGGCGCGCCTCGTCCACGCTGGCCACGGTCCCATTGATGATACGCGGCTGCTGTTGATCCTCTGGAAAACGGCTTCTCGCCGCCTGGCAGCAGAGGAGCCAGACGAGAAGGCAGGTGCAGATCAGGAGCCAGCTCCGAGTCATCGCAGATCAGGTGAAAAGAAACGGAGCGCACAAAACTCACTGAAGAGGCGTTCTCGGAATCGAGGTCTCGAATCTGGGAGCAGCGAGCCAAGAGTAACAATTGGCAATCAGCGGCGCCGCTATCAGTGCGATAAGGCAAACATAAACATATTAGGCGCAGATCACATCCGCAACCCATCAGTTCATCAGGGGGAACAAGCTAGTTGGGGGTCGTCGCAGAGAAATCGATATGAAAAGATGATCAATTCGATCTCAACATTTAACTTTTGGAAGTTCAAACAATACGTATAATTTGATATGTCTTTACACCAGTTTTCTTATAAATGGACATTGTTTACAGTGATATATAGTAGTTGTTGTATACAGTTTTTGAGCCTGGGTAAAAATAATCAATTTATGTTAGAAATGTAAAATAGAGTAGCTCGAATTGGGCTAAACAAAAAGTTATTTATCTTATTTTAAACTGTATGTGCTATTTAATACAATCATAAATGGAGACGGAGACGAGTTCGCAGCTTGGGCGCGTATAAATATGTAAGTATTCGATGGTTAAAGTCTGCGGAGGCAGTCGGACGTTAAAGGCACTTTGGACGGCGTCGATTGCGCAGATACGAGATTGCTTGTGAGAATCCTATCTAAGGATTCAATTGAAGTGGAATGCATTGGAGCCAAAAACTGGTCTGGCTCTTATATGTAGCCCTGCAGGCTGCGCGACTGGCTTTGGTGGTGACGCGGCGGTTGGTAGCCCGGCTCCTGCATCTCCATTTGCATGACCAGGTTTTTCTGCTCGCCGCGCGCCTCGTAGGCCTGCCGGGCCTCGCGCTGCAGGATCAGTGCGGCCAGGCCCAAGAGCATGAATGTGACCACGGCCAGGGCGTAGGACCAGCCCAGCACATTGAACTTGGGGTACATCATCCAGTCGCGGCGGTAGGCGCAGCCCCCGAAGATGCACACGGCCAGAAACATGAACAGAGCTGGTGAAGATCAGAGATCAGATTAGAAGGCGTACTGCGGGGGAGGAGACCCAGGGATACGTACAGGAGACGCCGGTACCTATGAAGGAGAGGCGGACGAGCAGCCACTCGTACTGCAGTACGGGCTTAAGCGGCAGGCGGATAATGGTCAGCGAGAGCAGGGCCAGCACAAGGAAAACAATGATGAAGGACATGGTCACGAAGCCCTGCACCGCCATCAGCCAGCCGGGCAGTAGGTACTCGCGGATCACGTAGTAGTCCTGTGGGTAAGAGAAAATCAGACTAAATCCGAGAAAAGGGAGCGAAGGCGACGCCTGTGCTTACGTGCGAGAAGATGTTGTGGCAGCCGTTGAACTGCTTGGGAAACTGGTACTTGGGGTACACGAAATCCTTGAAACAGTACTGCCAAAGGCCCATGTTCTTGAAGCTGGACCGCGTCTCCTCGTAGGACTCGATCCAGTACGGCGAGCAGAAGGACATCATAAGCACGAAGAAGCTGGCGAAGGTGACGATGGCGCCGAAGACCACGCCATCTGCAAATTGGGATTGGTGTGGTTGGGGGATTAGGGACTTAGATCGCCAATTGGATGCAATTTCAGGTCAGACCCGCATGCCTGAGTGCGTCACTTACTGGTGGCCCTTGGATAGTCGCCCTTCTCGACGCCAGAGTCCGTGGTGTCCTGCGACTGTTGCTTATTGAGTTCGCGCATGCTGCTGCTGCTGTTTCGGGTGTCCTGGTTTTCGAGGGGATCGCAGTTGGAGCACAAGCGGAGAGTATCTTTTCTGGAGTTTGGGCAGCGTAAACAAATGCAACCGCACACACCCAAAAAAACCAAAAACAACTAGGTGGGGCTCGATGGAATATATCGAATGTAGGCAATCGATCTTTTTACATCTCTAGCTCATGATAGTGTGGCCAGCTTTTGGAGAAAATACCACAGTTTAAGTGTTTCTAACTAATTTTATTTTATTTAAACTATCATAATTATAAGAAATACGTCCACTAAATAGCACTATCCACTTCGTGGTGCTCCAGGTGCTTCATGTAGGCCAGGAAGCAGGTCCAGCACAGGCTGCAGGCACTGATGAAGGGCACCCGGTTGCGCTCGGGGATCAGGGTGAAGTTGATAGTGGCCACCAGGGGCCACACGGATAGAGCCACCTTGGAAGCGGAGTTAAGGTTGGTACACAAGAACTTTCCACATGTGAGACCTAAAACCTAACATACCTTGTACGTCGGCAGAAACTTCTTGCCCACCTCGGCCACCGCCTCCTCCACCGTCTTGGACTCCAGCAGACTCATGATGAAGTAGAAGCAGGTCATCGCGCCGGGGGTATAGGAGATCGTCTCCACCGCCGCCTTGATGACACCAGTCCTCAGCGACGTCTGCGGCCACATGGCGCTGGAGATCTGCGGAGCACGGGATATGAACGATAACTGGCTTAGAAGCGGTCACCCACCTTGACCCATCCGTATAGCGTGGGAGCCACAAAGAGGCCGCCGTACATGCTGAACCGGAGCACGCGCCACCAGTCGTAGGTGCCTGATAGACGAAAGATCGAAGAATGAACAGGAGCACCAGCTTCCGCTGCCGTTTAGGCAGTTTGTGAACTCACCCCAGCGTCTGCCTTCGACCGTCTGCTGAATGAGGCTGCCCGTGGGCCAGATCAGGCTATACGATATCATGCCGCGCATTATCGGGTAGCGGGCAACGACCGCCTTGAAGTTCTGCCACAGCAGAGGGGCCGCCATCGCAATCTCGGCCCTGCAGAGTCACAATCGCGCATATGGCATCTCATTAGCATGGCTAATAGGACCCGCCCGCAACTGCATGGCCAGCTCCACCCACAACAAGCCACTTGCGAATGCGAATGCGGGCCCCGTGGCCCATAAATTGCCCTGCTCTACTCGCGGTCCGTACACAAAGAACGCCGACATGGCTCTGCGTGTAGGGCTCGTGCTGCTTCTCCTGGCCATCGCCTTCATCCTTGCAGGAGCCTCCGGCGAGGATGGAAAAATCGTCAACGGCACCATCGCTGGCCCGGGGGAGTTCCCCTTCGTGGTCTCGCTACGTCGCGCCAAAAGTGGACACCACTCGTGCGGAGCCACGTTGCTTAACCCTTTCTGGGTCCTCACTGCCGCCCATTGCGTGCGCAACTCCTCGCCCGAGCAAGTGAACATACAGTACGGCAGCCAGATCTTAGCGCGCAACTCCAGCGAGCTAGCCCTCGTGGCCGCCATCTTCGTCCATCCAGGCTACGAGCCGCATGACAAGTTCGTCAACGACATCGCATTGCTGCAACTGGCACAGCCCGTCACTCTGAGCAAGTTTGTCCAGCCGGTGCGTCTACCGGAGCCTCGTCAAGAAACGCCCGGGAACGCGAGTGCCGTCCTTGCGGGCTGGGGATTGAACGCGGTAAGAAAGAAAGCTATCCTTTTGTGTAGCCATAAGAAATCATTCAATTCAATTTCAGACTGGCGGCGTAGTCCAGCAGCACCTACAGAAGGTCCAGCTGCAGGTGTTTAGCGATAAGGAGTGCAGCGATCGGCATCAGACGCAGCTGCACGAGAGCCAGATCTGTGCGGGATTGCCCGAGGGCGGAAAGGGCCAATGCAGCGGCGACTCTGGCGGCCCGCTGATTCTCACTGGCTCCGACACCCAGGTGGGGATTGTTTCCTGGAGCATCAAGCCCTGCGCTCGGCCACCGTTCCCAGGCGTCTTCACCGAAGTTTCCGCCTATGTGGACTGGATCGTGGAGACGGTGGGCAGCTCCTCCACGTTGTCTTCCCTTTGGGTGGGCCAGCTTGTCGTGGGACGTTCGCCACCTGATCTAAGCAGCTAAATGACTCCACTAGCACCATTAAAATACCGATTCACATACGCTAACGCTATCTAATTCAACAATTGGCCTAAGGGACGTACAACAGGTAACAAATATGACAACACGGAGAGCTATGTACAGGGGAGATCCGCTGTATCCGCCTGCTCCTCGTGGCGCGTCTTCATGTAAGCCAGGAAGATGGTCCACATTAGGCTGCAAATGCTTACGAACACCACGCGGTTGTGCTCCGGCACCAGCGAGAAGTTTATGGTCTGCAGGAATGGCCAGATGCATACGCCGACCTGGGTGGTAATGGGTAGTAATGATATGGCTGTGAGCGGGTTGGGAGCAGCAAGGAGCGGGATGGGCGTTACCTTGTACGTGGGCGCAGCCTTCTCCTTCGTTTCGTCTACGGCCTGACTGAAGGTCTTCAGCTCCAGCAGGCTCATACCCATGAAGAAACTTACGCAGGCGAAGGGCCCGTAGGAAAGCTGTTCCGTGATGGCCTGCAAAGGGGCGTGTGAGGGTGAACTTAGTCCGCTGAGGCTGGAGCACGGGATGGAGTCGGAGATCTTACCTTGACGATGCCCGTGCGCAGATTGGTCTGCGGCCACATGGCGCTGGTGAGCCGCACCCAGCCGTACAGAGTGGGCGCCACGTACAGGGCTCCAAACAAGCTGAAGCGGAGCGCCCTGGCCCAGTCGTAGTCCCCTGCAAATCGTTAGTGAAGGATTGGTTAGGGGTGCAGGGTAGGAGTTAGCCATGGATGCGATGGACGAGTGGAGTGGATACTTACGCAACTTGCGTCCCTCCAGCGCCTGCTGGATCAGGCTGCCCGTGGGCCACATGACTGCGTACGTTAGCGCGCCCTTGGCCATGGGATGCAGCTTTACTCCACTGGCGACCCCGCGTCGCCACTGGCCCAGCGAGGACTGGAGCAGCTTCACAGCCTGTGGCACCATCTCGTGAGCTGGCCAGAATGGAGAACATGTAACGTTTCGGATCGGATCCTAAGCTATTGTATTGCCTAACCTAAACCAACAACATCAACGACGACGACGGAGGAGAGGCCTTTCTATTCTATTCGAAGGTCATTGTCTGCGAGGGGCGGCGGGGGTCAGGAGCTGGCCATGGTCAGAATGGAGGGTACTTGCCGTTGTATATGATGGGGCTATGGCTATGGGGTCTCGATGTCTCGGACGCTGCGCTGAAACTAGCCGTGCGATGAGTGCACTTTCTAAATTCGAACATGGCAATCGGGATGCACAATTATTAGGCTTCGGGGAGAAATTCTTCGCGCCGATCTTGACCCTCAGCCGAGCGAGCGGGACGGAACAACAACATGTGCAGTCTTGGCTGCAGAGCACCTGTTGGTGGGAGGAGAGCAGCATATGCACAGTGCATTCTTTCCAGGTGCGGATCTCTATTAAGTTTTGAGGGCCCTTAATTAATATTTCGTTTTTTCCAACCTGCGCCCAAAGGCAATGCTATTGTGTTGTCCACGGACCGCAAGTCAAAAGTTGTCTGTGATTTAAATTTAAAAAGGCCCTCTGCGATTTTGTGTTTAATAAGTCGAAAAATAACGCAATTTTAACACTTGTCCACAAAGTATAAAACAATCAGAAAACTTGGAAAGCAAAAAATACTACATTTACACTTAACTTTAAAGTGTATACAAATCAGCCTAATTGGTTAAAAAATAAATAAAATTACCAGTAGCCAATAGTAATAAAAATTACAAATAACTCTTATTAACGGACACTGGGATTGTGTTGGTTGAAGAGTTGTTAAATATTAAATATTGTTATGTTTTCTGTTATAATTGAGCGTTAACTGGTTGATTTTCGTCCAAAAAGAAAATATGTATAAAAAGGATTTGTATTTACTAATGATGAAATTAAAGTAAGTTTTTAGAATGCTTAATTTTTTCCCTGCATTGAATCCGCTCCTGGCACTGCTCTCACGCAATGCGAACGAGAGTGGGATGGCGCGAGAGGAGGAAGCACTTTTGCAAGGACTTTATGTAATAGAGAGGGAGAATAAAATAAATGGAAAATAACGGCACGTTTGGCTCTCCTCTCCTTTCCTTTCCCACTAGTCACTACGCAAACAGATTACGTCGCTTGTAAACGAGAGCGTGACAGATCGTGTCAACCATAATTTAATCCACCGCCTTCATCGTTGTTGTTGTTGTTTTTGTCAGGTGAGTAGTGAATAGTTACTTACGTTTTCTTGGCAGATTTTTATTGGGTGGGGAGAGGGGCCTGAACTTAAGTTAGACTAACTTATTGGAATTCTAGTTTGTACTGTGGTTACGCACGGCGTCCGCATCTCGCGCCCTCCTCGGCTCGCCTGGCTTCCGTATCTCGTATCTGACTAGTCACTAGACCGACGGCCCCAAATGCCATAGCAATAGCAATGTTTTGCTAAAGTCAGCTGTTCGAGATTAGCGTGGCGAGCTTTCGCAGAGCTTTTTGGGGTTTTTGCTAGAGATTCTAGATCCCCATGCCTTGACTTGAGCCCAGAGGCGTATCCAGGGGGCACCAAAATTCAGGCTACGCCACTGAACACCGATTTTAAAATAATTTTCTTTTTTAGATATTTGTATAAGTCCTTTAAGACTTCGGCCAGCCCCACCATAATTCATATAAAATGAAGAAGAAAAAGACATCGATGATATGATGCCCACAAATTTTAAAAACATCGCTTTCAATTTATAGAAATATAAATCATAGTGTTTTCAACAATTCTTGATGTAAAAAATAAAGCGAAAAAACACTTCTTAAGTTACATTTTATGCTTTATATTTACAGAAGCCGTTACAATTTCCTATTCAAATACTTTTTAGATTTTTTTCTGAAAAAATACCGACAGCGTTAGCGCTTTCCTCTGACCTAAAAAAAATACCAACACCCAACTCAAAACAAAGCCAAAATGCGAGGGAGCTGGCCCAGGCTTGGGCCTCCGGCACTGGCGCTGCTCCATGTCCACCTCCTCCTGCTCCTGCTCCTCCACCTGCTGGTCGGCACGGAGGCCGCCTTCCGGAACGGCACCGCAAGCAGGAGAAGTGGCGGTTTCCGGAGAAGCAGCGCCACCTGTGCCAAACGAATGCTGCCGGAGATCCTGCCACTGCCAGAGACTTGTCCACCTGAGGTGCTCGGCCTGAGGGGCACCGTGTACATTCTCTACGACGTGAACATCTCCGAGGGTTTCAACCTGCGCCGGGACGTCTACATTCGCATGGCGGTGTTCGTGCGCCGTCTGCGGAGGCGCCAGCGGTTCCGCAATGTGCGCCTCGTCCTGCCACCGTGGCCACGCCTTTACCACTGGCACTCGCAGGGCTTGCAGCAGGCTGGACTGCCCTGGAGTCACTTCTTCGACCTGGCCAGCCTGCGCCGCTACGCGCCCGTGTTGGACTACGAGGAGTTCCTGGCTGAGCAGCGGCTCTTCGGCAATCCGGGCGCCCCCCTTGTCCACGTGACGCACGCCTTCCGGCTGCAGCACTACGAGATCATGCTAGAGCAGGGCATCTTCCGGGACAAGTTCGAGCGCATTACGGACAAGCCGTGCAGCGAGGGATCCCTATCGGGTGGACCCCTGCTGCAACAGCCGGAGCTGCGCGTGGGCCGCTTTCACTGCGTCCGCTTTCAGGGCAGCGCAGGACTGCTGGAACAGCTGCTCCGCGGGGCCATCGACGAGGACACGGCGGGGACGGAGGACGCGGACGACATGCGCACCTACGCTCTGCTCAGTGCCGAGACCGTGCTTCACGACCACTGGGGCGACGAACACTTTTGGCGAGCCCGACGCTCCATGCGCTTTGCCCGGCATCTTGACCAGGTGGCCGACGACTTCCGACAGCAGGCGCTGGCCACCACAACCGATTCAGCCGGTGTTCAGCGGCCCGCCTTGTGGGAGCTGGAGCGACCAAAGCGCAACGCGAGGGGTGGAGATTACCTGTGCGCCCACCTCAGGCGGGGCGACTTTGTGCGATCGCGAGAGGCGACCACGCCCACCCTGAAGGCGGCCGCCCAGCAGGTCAAGCAGTTGCTTCGCGCGTTCAACCTGACCACAGTGTTCCTGGCTAGCGACGCTACGCCCTACGAGCTGATGGAGCTGAAGGAGCTCTTCTACCGCTTCCGCTTCGTTCACTTTGCGCCGGAGTCGAACGTTCAACGGCGCGAGCTAAAGGATGGGGGCGTGGCGGTGGTCGACCAGCTGGTCTGTGCCTACGCCCGCTACTTCGTGGGCACCTACGAGAGCACCTTCACGTACCGCATCTACGAGGAGCGCGAGATCCTGGGCTTCAGCCAAGCGACCACCTTCAACACGTTCTGCAAGGCCCTGGGCGGAAGCTGCTCCCGCAACGCCGTCTGGCCTATTGTGTGGGATGGCGACTTTGATGGCGACAGCGAGGAGGACACCGATTCCGATCCGTACTGAATAACCTCTGTGTTCCCGGACGTGCTGCCTTCTGCCGGAGGTTGCGCACTGGAAGACCATTCGAATCCTAGTTGTAAGTGCAAAGCGTGTGTCAGAAAGCAAAAGAGATTAAAAACAATCTGCGATTGTGTACCAAAAATAAACAAATAGCCAATATTCTGTACTCATCGTCGTTTTAATAAATAATATTTGGTATTTTAGGAAATTTATATTTTCCCGCCCCTCTAGCACCGACACATATCGATACCAGCTTCAGCTGTTGCGCATCGATGACTGATCCGATTTCAACAATCGAATCGAAAGTACTGCGCGTCAAAAACACGTGTGATATTTTGTAAACATTTAACATTTAAAATACAAATAGTTGCTTCGTCCCGTAGACTCACGAATATAGTAGGTGCGCCATGGGCAAGAAGAACAATGGCGGCGCGTCCAACCTGGGCCGCCAGTTGATCAAGGATCGCTTTGGCCACACACCCCGCCGCAAGGTGGACAACGACACAATGGTAAGATCGCCAGTTGGGAGGGTGCAGAGTGTTAGAATATGTATCATCTAATCTCCTCCAGCTGCACACCACCGAGCTGCAGGATGGCTACGACTGGGGCCGCCTCAACCTTTCCTCGGTCACCGAGGAGTCCTCGTTCCAGGCGTTTCTGCGCACCGCTGAGCTGGCCGGCACCGAGTTCCAGGCCGAGAAGCTCAACATCACGTTCGTGAATCCCAAGCAGCGCGTGGGACTGCTCAGCAAGACGCAGGAGCAGCGCATGCACCAAAAGCATGACGAGCACCGCGACCAACTGAAGATCCCGAGGCGCCCCAAGTGGAGCAAGGAGACGAGCGCCGATGAGCTGGAACGGGCCGAGAACGAGGCCTTCCTGGACTGGCGTCGCGACCTGGCATTGCTGCAGGAGGACGAGGAGATCCTTATGACGCCATACGAGAAGAATCTCGAGTTTTGGCGCCAGCTTTGGCGCGTAGTGGAGCGTTCCGACGTAGTTGTCCAGATTGTGGACGCCCGCAATCCGCTGCTATTCCGCAGCGTCGACCTGGAGCGCTACGTAAAGGAGGTGGACCCGGAAAAGATGAACATGATCCTAGTAAACAAGTCAGATCTGCTCACTGAGGAGCAACGTCGCCACTGGGCGGAGTACTTCGACAGCGAGGGCATTCGCACGGCCTTTTATTCGGCCACCCTGGTGGAGGAGGAGTTAAAGCGAGAGGCGGAGACGGCGCGCCAGGAATCCTTTCCCGAGGTACAACAGCTGCGCCAGGCAGCCGAGGAGATCCACCAGTCGCTGGACAAGGTGGAGAATACACTGACCGCCATCGAAAATAAACTAAAGGTGGATAAAGAGGAGGAAGCCGAGCGGCTGCCGCAGCTACCTGGGGATAAGAATAGTCCCCGTTTGCTGTCGCGCCTGGAGCTAATTGAGTTTCTGCGCCACATTTACACCGGTCCGAGACACACGGATCAGCACGTGACCATCGGCATGGTTGGCTATCCTAATGTTGGCAAGAGCAGCACAATTAACTCGCTGATGACAGTGAAGAAGGTGTCCGTTTCGGCCACGCCCGGCAAAACTAAACGCTTTCAGACGCTTTTCTTGGACAAGGACATACTGCTCTGCGACTGTCCCGGTCTGGTGATGCCCAGCTTCGTTTTGACCAAGGCGGACATGTTGCTCAACGGCATCCTGCCCATCGACCAGATGCGCGACCACGTGCCTGCCGTCAACCTGCTGTGCGAGCGCATTCCGCGCCATGTCCTTGAGGACAAATACGGTATCGTGATAGCCAAGCCGCTGGAAGGCGAGGACATGGAGCGGCCACCGCATTCCGAGGAGCTGCTGCTGGCCTATGGATGTGAGTACATAATGCCCAGTTTTTTTTTTGTATCTAATATTTTATAACTCGCCCTTTCTCTTTCTTTTCGGTATGTCTCAGATAATCGCGGGTTTATGACCTCCAACGGACAACCGGATCAGGCGCGCTCTGCCAGATATGTGCTTAAAGACTACGTCAATGGCAGACTGCTTTACGCCATGGGTCCGCCCTCGGTGACCCAGGCAGAGTATCACATTTTCCCCGAGCGCCAGCGCAAGGTCGTCGAGGAATCGCAACTGCCCAGCAAGCAGCAGCGAGCTATGCGGGTGAGATTTTGCACTTGGACTAGTCTTAAACCCGCTTACTTATATTTCTTGTCTCTCAGATTGACAAGAGCACGTCCAAGGAGCTGGACAATCAGTTCTTCTCCGCAAAGCCCACCCACGTTCACGTCAAGGGACGCGCTAACTTCCCGAATGTGCGCCTGGCCAACGACGGTTCCCTGGTGGCCGGCAGTGATCCGGCAGCCAAGCCCTGGCGTCACGTGAAGAAGGAGAGGCGCGAGAAGCTGCGCAAGAAGTTCTCACACTTGGACGAGCACTGATTGTAGTCCATTGGTTATTTATTCCGGAGGGCGTGTCTGAGAGACACTTGTATATTATTAACATAGTTCTTACGTAGCTAATAAAGTTCCCTGAACCTGACGAACACGGATACCTACATCGTTAAGCTGGAAGATTTAAATCGCTTAGCCCACAGAGGAAACCATAGATAACCCCAATGAGGTCCATAAAGATTGCATATATATTTAGCATACACACCAATGGAAATTGCCACCAGCAAATGTGTTGATTGGCGCACTGAATTGAGCACAAAAGATGCGTGAGATGAAGGCGTAGCTGCACTTTGACCATCTGATAAGCGCAGATTTTTACGTCCGCCTTGTCTTTTAGCAGGCTGCTGTTTTCAGTCTCGATCACGGAGTAGCTACGATGGCCACGCACGAAAGGAGCTACAAGCACTTTAGGGAGCTGGTCATTAAGCAACCCCCTGGGTTGCTCCACATCCACTTCCAGCGGGGATGGAATCGCCGCACCATCTACGAGCTGATGCGCGCGCTGGATCTGGCTAATGCGGATACCGGTATCCAGCTGGTGGTGCTGTCGGGAGAGTTCTGTGCTGGATGCGGCAGCGAGGCGGAATCGCTGGCCCTGAAACAGGGTCAGGAGAAGAGGATGCGGCAGAGTGTGGGCCAGCAGGAAGCGGTGGGCAGCAACGATGTCGAGGAGCAGTACATTCACGAGAAGGCGGCAAACTTTGTGATGCGCTCGCTGGCCAAAAAGCTGCTGGCGCACAGTAAGCTCCTGGTCGCCTTTGTCGAGGCCCAATGTTTGGGTTTAGGCCTCAGTGTGTGCAGCCTGTGCGACCTGGTCTTCGCCACACCGTCCGCTGCCTTTGAGCCCGCCTTCTCGCACATGGATGCTTGCACCAAGGTGGGCCCCGGGTGGACTGTGCCCCACGTCAACTGGCTGCTGCGCCTGGGCGATCGGGCGGATGCCAGCACTGCACTCCACAGCGGCCTCGTGGCCAACGTGGTGAGTGATCCGCAGGGGTTCTGGCGTCGCATGGACCAGTATTTGCTCCTGCCCACCGCCTCCTTGCTGGCAACTAAGCGTCTCTTGCTCCGTCCCTGGCGGGAACCCCTGTTGGCCGAGCTGCGCGCGGAAGGCACTCCGATGGCTGCGCAGCGACGACGCTTAGCCAAAAGCAAGCTGTAGGATGGGATCCGTTGGAGATCTGGTTAATTAGCTATTGTATAATAAAGACATAAGACATAAGAGATTAGTGCATAGAGGTACAAACATGTTCGTTGGAGCTCGAGCTCCAGGGTTAAGTGTCAATATCTTCGCGGTACCAGTGTTGAATTATCTTGAATTATCATATCCTCTAAAAGTAGGACTTGTAGACTACGGGTAAGCACATAAGATCAAGTTGGCTGTGTCCAAGGTTGTCAGCCTATGTGCTCTGTACGTTTTCCAGACCAGCCAGTACCACCATGGAGCCCGGAGATTGTGATACGGCCAGGAGCGCCTTTTCCGATAAAACGCTCGTCTTGGACGAGAGCACGCCTGCACCCAAGAAGATGGGCTCCAAGAAATCGGAACAACCGAAGACTTGGAAGGTTAGGTCTCGGTTCCACAGGGCCAAGAAGGCCAAGACCGCCAGGAGCAGCGGGGCCAAGACCAAAGGTAAAAAGCCTGAACGCAAGCTACCAACACGCTCGAAGTCCATCTCCCCCGACATTTCCGAGGATGTCACTTGGCCCAAGGACTTTTGCAGGCAGCAGGAGGGTGAGCTCCGGTGGAAGATGTTCACGGACGAGGAATACGCCAACTGGAAGGCCTTCAAGGATAACGACTGCAAGGTGCCGCTGCGCTCGGTGTTCTCCTACTTGAAGGTCAGGCCCTATCCCGTGACCATTGGCAATGTGCCGCGCAAGACGTCGGTGCCGGATGTGCTGGCCGATATGGTGAAGGGCAACCGGGGCGCCTACACCCGCATCAAGATCGGCGATCAGCTGTTCCAGTGCATCCCCAACCTGCTGAAGTGCTACTCGGTGTGGTTCGCCAACCGCGACTGGCGAATGACGCGCTTCGAGTTCTGTGAGCAGGAGGTGCCTGCACGCGGCTTCGTGGCTCTCTACGATTGGATGCGCACCGAGCAGCTGCCGGAGTTCCAGGTGGCGGTGGCCACACTCCAAGCTGCGCGCCACTTGCGGGTCCCGCTGCTCGAGAAGGACTGCTGGCAGGTACTGTCCACCGACGAGGTGCGCGAGAAGAGGGCCTTCCTGGTCTTCCAGGAGGCCAAGGAGCTGCCGGCTCTGGGCGAGGTCTGCGAAGCGATGCTCGGCCGGCTTCGCAACTTCTTCCTGGCGCTGGTGGGCAGCCCCGAGTTTCTGGACCTGGAGATACAAGTGCTGGAGATATTACTGCGTCAGGACGCTATAGGCGTCAACTCGGAGATGGAGGTGTTCTTTGCTGTGCTGCGCTGGCTGGGACACTCCGTGGAGCCGTCGCGCCTGCCGTACATGCGCCGCCTGATGAACTGTGTCCGCTTCCACCACATGCCAATGACCTTCTTGTTCAGCCTGCGCGAGTCCATCAATCGGGCGGACAAGGATGAGCTCTTCCGGCCGGATCCCGTGCTGCTGGCCTTCAACCGGGACCCGGATACGATGACTTCGCTGGAGCAAGCCATTTCCTTCATCGGCGTGCGCTGCCAGTACGACGACATCGACGAATTCTTCGCCGTCTGCGATGACCACCGCATCGGGGTGGTCTTCCCGCGCCGGTGGGTCTACCACCCCAACTGTCCGTACCACCACAGTCGCCTGACCTTCCCGTACCAGCACCGCTTTAATGTCACCGAGTTCACCGAGTATGTCACCAGTATCCAGGAGGTTTGGGCCGGCGAGGGGCCGGCGGACCACGGAAGGTCGCTGGTCCGCGACATGGATAAAGATCCGCTGCTATGCAGGCAAGACGACTGGAATGAGTATAAGTGACACCCATATTTACATATTTTATACGTTATTTATGGGTTTCAAAAACCCTATCTTCACACAACATCTCAAGAGGTTCCATATTGCTGCTTGTATCCTACTTTTCGAGTACCCACTTAAATTAAAGTTCAAATCATATTTGCTTAAAGAAATTAAAGTTCAAATAACATGGTGAGAGTTTTTGTTTAGATTAAAAAATTTTTAATGAATTCAAAATCCCATACAATATAACGGTCCAAGTAACGGAAAACCATTTCAAACGATCTTCGCGATGGGCAGCACTGTTTTCGATAACTTCCAACTGGAACGCTCAGCTGATTGCCGGCGCGTGTTGTTTTTTTTTTATTGCTTTGCCCTGCCTACCAAACGTATTTAAAATAAATCTCGTAATCTCGCGGAAAACTGAATGAAGTAGGCCGATATGCAGCGAGCAAGACTGTTGCAGAGTGTGTGGCGGTCAGTGGGCCAACTGCCAGGACGCAGGGCATCCTCCGCCACTCTGGGATTGCGTTATGCAATGACGCCGATGACTTGGAAGCCGCCAGCAGCTTCATCACTGCAGCGGCGGTTTCTGGGCACCAGCGGCGTACTCGGTGCGGCTGACAGAAGGAGCCGCCGCCCCGCCTCCGAAAGGCCGGAAGTCAGCGTTGAGGATGTGTGGTCGCAGCTGGAGGCGTACTACCAGCAGCACAGCCTGCTGAACTTCGAGCACTGCCAGCGCGTGTTGGAGCACCTGCAAAGTACGCCGACGGCCCAGGGAGTGAGCGTCGAGCAGCTGCACTTCCTCCTGGGCTCGTGCGTGCCCGAGCTGCTGCCCGCCCAGAGCGCCCAGGAGCGTCTGCAGCTCTTCCAGGGCCTCTGGGCACAACTCCTCAAACTGGGACACCCCACGCTGGCTCACTACCACACCAGGCTACAGGTGCTGCGCCAGAACCGCTTGCCCTTGCCCGACCATCGCTCCCTGCTAGCCGAGATTGCCGTTTACCACGGAGCCGCCGACGCCGCCCTGTACAGTGCTCTCCTAGACGTGGCCGGTTCCGCAGGGAACATGCGCATGGCAACCGAGCTGTTGACCGAGATGCGCGAGCGCAGCTTTGCCCTAACGGAGCACAACTTTCACGCCCTGCTCCTGGGCCACGCACGCAACGGGGACCTCCCCGGGGCAGAGTCCGTCCTGGCCAGCATGCGGGCCGCTGGAATACAGCCCGGCAGCAGCACCCAGGCTCTGTGGTTCGAGGCACTCGTGGAGAACGGCCAGGTGGCCCAGGCCAAGGAGCTGCTGCAGACGGAGGCAGGATTCACCGCTCCACAGCTGCTCCAGATGCTGCGTGGAGTGTTGGCCAGCAAGAATGTGGATACGGAGCTGGCCCAGCAGCTGGTCAAGGAACTGCCGCGAGAATTCCTAACCGGTCTTGACATGCCGCCCGCAATCAGGAGTCTGTGCATACAGCTGGTTCACCAGGGACGCACCAAAGTGGCCATCCAGCTCGTGGCTGCGTTGCCCTCTCCCAAATTCGGAGGCCAAAACCAAAACGTCGATGAGTACGGCGCACTGCTGCTGCAGGAGTTCTTCCGAGCTCACGTCCCATTGCAGCAAACACTACAGTTCGCCAGTGAACTGGTCCAGCGGAACCAGAATGCCCGCGCCCTGCATTTGGTGACTGAGTTGGCCCTGCGCCGGCTGCCCTCATCCGCACTCCACTGCCTGGAGGTGCTGTCCGAAGCCGGCGAGGAGCTGCGCCCGCACTATTTCTGGCCCCTGATCCTGCATCACCACCGGCGGGAGGGCGAGAGTGGCATGTTGCGCCTGGTGGCCGAAATGCAGCGCCTGCGCGTGGAGTGCGACGAGGAGACCTTGCGCCAGTATCTGCTTCCCCACCTCAAGCAAACGCTGACGCAGCCCTTGGAGGCTGTAAAATCACTGGAGTCGGTTGGTTTGAAGCCTTCGCTGACCCTGGGACCGGTCATTAGCCACCTGCTGCAGCAACAGCAGATGGCCGAAGTGCTGGAGCTGCTCAAGCGGTATCCGACGCGCCTAGACCTTTCCATGCTGCTCCAACCGCTGTCATCGCTAGCGGTGAATGCCCGTGCCACCAAGCGCTTCGAGCTTTTCGCGCAGGTCATCCAGGCCCTGCAGCAGAAGGCTCTCCAGCGGGGCGAGGACTTCGTGGGCGCCTTGCTGCTGCAAATGACTGGACCGCAGACGCGCCTGCGCCAGGACCCCTCCTCCCTGCGCCGCTTCCTGCACGAACTGAGGCGTCTAGAGCTGCAGCTCTCGCCTGCGGCCTCCGAGGCACTACTTTCCCTGGCCCGGCAGTCCACCGAGGATACCGAGCTGATTCAGGATCTCGCCAAAACGCTGCAGAAGATGCGAAACTCCCAGGTCTCTCTGCCGGCAGATACTGCCTCGCTCAACGGAGGATTCATCAAGCATCCGCGCGACATGAGCCTTGACGAACTGGAGTGCCATCTGGTGGAGCTAGAGTCCAAGCAGCTGAACCCACGTGGCGTGCTGCGCCGTCTGCTGCAGCTCTCGGTGCGCAGTGGTCGCTTGGAGCGGGCCCAGCAGCTACTGGCCAAGTGCCAGGCTCTGAAGGTCCAGACGAGCGCAGGGATGATGGCCTCCATCCTGGACCTACACATTAAGTTACGCGACTTGCCGAGCGCCCAGAAAAGCCTGGAGCGCCTGAGAAGCACCTATCCAGGTAGAAGCTATCCCCAAGATCCCTATAGATTGTATTTTAATATCGTATTCCATCCTCTTTCAGCCTTTCAGATTGACGAGCACAAGTTGATCGACTACGCCGCCCTCTTGGTGCACGGTCAGCAGCTGGAGGCCGCCAAGCAGCTGCTTCAGCGGCGCGCGGAGCAGCACAAGGTCGTCGGTGGCGACTATGTGATCAAGAATGTGTGGCAGCTGCTGACGAACGTGGCCCAGTTGGCCGCCTCGCAGAACCCAAGTGCGGAGAGCCCGAAGCAAACTAATCTGACCCTCGAGACGCTGGACTTCCTTCGAGGTCTCGGCTACTGCCAGTCACACAATGCCCTGCTGGGACCAGTGGTGCGGGAGTGGCTGCTGAAGGGCGACCTGGACGCGGCGGTGGCCGAATTCCAGCGGCTGGCCAACAATCACAAGCACACTCCCCTGCAGTTCGAGCTGCTGTCGCTGCTGGTGCGCCTTGGTAATGGGGATGAGCAAGAGCTGGCCCGTTTCCCCGGCACCACGACCGAGTCTGCGCAGCAGCACCTGGCTGCGGTTACGGCGACGGTGAGTCGCGTTCACGGGTCGGCCAACATGAACAGCGCCCTGCTGCTCGCACTTGCCGAGTCCGGCAAGGAGACGCAGCTGCGCCGCCTGATCATCAACCCGGAGTTCCGCATCAACCACGAGCTGCTGGTGAAGAACTGCGAGCATTTGGGCCAGGAGGGCGCCGTGCGGACACTCCTCCGGCTGGCGCGCGGAGTGAGGGGCGTGCAGCGGACCATCGACGAGCAGAAAATCTACGACCTGCTGCTGGCGCAGTTCTGCCGGAGCAACGACTACGAGGCGGCGCTGGATCTCTTCGAGCGCCTGGAGGCCGACGACGAGCTGAAGGTGTCGCAGGAGTTCCTGCGCAACCTGGTGCAGCTCCTGCAGGTGAACAGTGTAGAGATTCCCAGCGGCATTGCCCTACGCGCCCAGATTAGATAGCCGGACTACGGGATGACCACTCTAGTGCTTAGTTAGTGACTTGTTTTGTAAATAAATAGACCCAGTCGAAGCGAGACGATTAAGATGCCTCATATTTATAATAGCTTTTGAGTAGTCATTTGGCTCATTCACTGACTATTGTTTATGATTTGATCGTTAAATTCAATCGCTCGCAGCTACAACTTAATAGTTTATTATATCTTTTTGAATATCTTGTGTTGGGTTGGGTTTTAAAACCAGCTAAACCCACCATTTGAAAATGGGCTTTTCGCGCCAAAAAATCGCAGATTGGCAACCCTGCACACCGCCATCTTGTTTCCGCCATTTTGTTTGTTGTGGTTCGCAGGCGCAACGTCTGCAAATAGGAATTTTCCGGTGAAGAAAATCTAGTTATACAGATATTAAGGAACCATGTCCACCATACGGCTCGTTTTCCACACCCTGGATCCGTTGCCCTCACTGGCGGAAAAGGGCTGCCTTGAGATCGAGGTGATGGTGCCCCTACCTTATGGAGATCTTCAAGGAGGACGAATCTTTCTGGATCTGGAAGTGTTTCATCCTGCCGGAGAACCAATGGATCGTAACCAACTAAGCAGCATACGTGGATCCTAAAAAAATCGATGTCAGAGTAGGCCTCGAATTTCGGCGCAATTTTCCACACAACGTCAGACACGGATTGTCATCCGGGATCAGAGAACAATCAGAAAGTTTTAGCAAACGTAGCATACACTAGTTTTCTAGCAGCTGCTCCGAAAGTCGTTACCCATCTAAATTTTAGTACTCATTTTACAAGCATTTAATCTGCGCATGTTGCGAGCCTTTCTGCGTACAAGCATGAAGCGAATGTCCCGCCGGCCCGTTTCCGACGAGCAGAAGGCCCAGGCGCAGGCCCAGATGCGCACCCGCAACCGCAACCATAACCATAACCACAACCACAACCACAACCAGAACCAACACCAAAATCAAGGCCAAGAACTGGAGCCGGTAGAGGTCTTTATGTCGGTGGCCACCGTCTCCACATTGACTCAAGCTCAAATTCAGTCACGTCCACCTGTGCAGCCAGAGCCTCAGCCCCAGCCCCAGCCTCAGCCTGAGCCGCAGGAGCTAGCGGAACAACAGGAGCAACTTGAGGAACAGGAAGTAGAGGTAAAGGTGAAGGACGAAAAACAGGACAAGGAGTCCCAGTCCGAGCCGGAGCTGGAGGTGGAAGCAGAGGCCGAGGTCCTCGAGAGCGGCGCCCAGGGCGATAACGAACAGTCGGACAACGAGGCGGGTCCCGCATCCGCCCCTGTCTCTTCGACCAGCGAGGATCAGGCCGACGCCGGCGATCCTGCCCAGCTGAAGGCGCTGGCCGGGCGCCAACAGATCGTGCGGATGCTCACCCGTCTAGGCGACGGCGCCGGCGCTGAGGGCGATGGCGAGGCTAACCAGATCGTGATGGAGCTGGTCGGCATCAACGACAGTCCCACACCCCTGCCGTCGCCGTCGGCCATTGAGCGCGTATCCGAGCAGCTGCTCCGCGTTCTGCGCGAGCGGACGCTGATGGAGGCGGGCATATCCACCGGTAACGAGCGTTACCGCTGCTTCAAGTGCGTGCTGCAGAACTACGCCAAGATCTATGCGGCACGCCACTTCATGGAGCAACTGCCTCAGCTGGAGGAGCTTGGACATGAAGTTGACGAGGAGCGGGAGCTGTTCGCCCGTGTCGTGGCGGAGGAGGTGCTGCAGATCCCGGTGCTGCTGCGGCAGCTGTGGTCGTCGCTGGAGAAGATGGAGTTCTTCAACGAGGACACCGCATTCAAGGCCTACCTGGAGGCCCGTCGCCACCCGCAGGCGCGCATCTTGTGCGAGCTGATGCTCACCCGCATCTCGCGCGTCTTCCTCTGCATTGTCAGCTCCACCTTTTTCCTGGACTTTACCGAGCACGAGCTCACCCACATCCTGCGCAACTGCTACCTCAGCGTCAACTCGGAAATCGAGGTGAGTTCGTCCAGTGATGATGATCACCCTTGGCTCCCTCTAATAATCTCTTACACCGACAGATCTTCCTTTCGGTGGTCCTTTGGCTGGAGCACAAGTGGTTTGAGCGGGGTGAGTGCGCCGAGCGCATCCTGACCGAGGTGCGCTTCGCCCTGATGCCCACTTGGTACCTGTGCACCCTGGACAGGGCCAACCGCTGCCGCCACTTCTCCCGTGTGATCCAGAGCCCCGGAGTGCAGCGCATGATTGCCCAAGGCCTAGAGTAGGTGCCATATTTGGATGATCGCTAATCCTCTAACTAAACCGTTTCCCTCAGGGATGCCGTGACCCTCCAGGGCAAGCCCCGCCCCAGTGGTGCCGCAGGGGGCCCCACCACCACCACTGGCGTTCACCCACTTCTGCAGCAGTCCCAGAATCTGGAGGAGAACCACCTGGCGCGCGACTGGATCGCGGATACCGAGTGTCGTCACCACCACAAGCGCCACTGCGAGCGGTTCGTTTACCCCACATATGATGTGTTCAAGGAGTACCTGGCCAGGATCATCTGCTGCGCCCCCAACTACTGGCGCACCTTCCGCCCCGCCCAGGAGGTGTACCGCAGCGACTTCCGCTGCTGCTCGCCGCCCCAATTCAACTAGCTGCTGTTACTCATCACCTCACCTGTTCGTCACCCACCCACCCTGCTTGTCCCATCTGCATTAGGCACTGCGGCTCACAATTTACGTGCGAGGATGTTTCCTCCGGGCATTCGTGATCCTGTCTGTCCCCATTTACGGCCACTGTGTCCACTGTCCTTTTAGCCACTTCCAGTACACATTTCCCCGGCCGGCCAAGGGCGTTGGCCCACCCACAAGAGCTCCGGCAGAGGAGGTCTCTGAACACGAACTTTAAAGAGAGACCATCGATCGACGCCAGGACAAAATGGAGCGACCTGTCCAGGCGGAGGTTACCGCTTGGCCTATCCTGGTTTTTTATCGAAGGCAAACTTCGTCCGACTCAGTGGGAATGCCCAGCCATCGTCCAGCCCATTGGCCAAGTCAACCAAGTCAATCGACTCTCTCTCAATGAACGCATTTTTTTGGAATTATTTTCAATATTTTTCAATAGAAAATACAAATTTGTTAAGTCAATGGCAATCAGCTGATTAGTTTAATTAAGCTCAGCTGGAGATGGGCTCGTGATTGCTTTCCTTTGGCACGACCTAAGCAATTACATAGGATTTAAGTGTAATTTCGTGCATATCGCGACAAGCTCGTGATACATTTCATGGTTGCTCATCTCTAGTCTGTGTTTGGTTCTCAAGTAGCGGTTGTTTTTCAAGGAGAAGGATTGCTATTGGTCAGATGGGGCTGGGGAAATATGGAAAGGGCAGCCATTTTGAAAAATAAGTTTACTTAGCTGTCAGCTGTCACTTGCTATGTTTTCTGTTTGCCTGGTGTCTGAGACGAAAAATCCAGCACTTTGACGAGCTCTCTTCGCTCTAAATTGTCTTCTGGCAGATGAAACTTGGCAGATTTCTTAATTTCAAACACCAGGCGAACATAAACGTTTAGCAGGTGGAAATTCGATCAGCTGATTAGTTTAATCTGATCTTCGTTAGAGATGCCCTCGTGACTGTTCCCCTTTGTCACGGCCGAAGCAAATACATAGGACTTAACAGTTATTTCGTGCATATCGTGACAAACTCGTGACAAGATCATGACACGGCCATGGTTGCTCATCTCTAGTCTGTGCTTGGCTCTCAACTAACGGTTGTTTCCAATGGAGAAAGATTCCTATTGGTCAAAAGGGGGTGGGGAAATATGGAAAGGGCCGCCATCTTGAAAATTAACAGTTATTTAAGTTTGCTTTTAGCAACCAGATGTCACTTGCTAAGTTTTCTGTTTGCCTGGTGTCTGAGACCAATAAATCCAGCACTTTGGCTGAAAAAATGTTACGAAGCCGTTCAAAATGTTGAAGTAAACTAGCGATTTTTCGATTTCAAGCACCAGGCGAACAGGAAAACTCGTAGGTGGCCAACGATTAGTTTTCAAGGCCCTCCTAGAGGTGGGACGCTTCAAAATATGTAAGGCATTTCTTCCCGACCAAGCGATTGCCCATCTCTAGTCTGCCTATAGTAAACTAACGGTTCTCTTCCAGTTGAAAATGTTAAATCCTCCATCCACTTTCTGCGGATTATGTTTGCCTGGTATCAAAAATCAAGAAATTTGTTATTTACGTACTGATTCTTGATTGATTTTGACCTCTGATGTGATCAATTTTGGTGAATTGGTTTTCCTTCAAACTATTGCCTACATTTTAGGGCTACAACAATAAACAACATAGTTTGCCAAATATAGTAGACGTATTATTTGTTTAATCCATGTTAAAAATAAATATAAGGTTATTAAAATATTGTTTTATCAAAATAAAAGGGGTTTTGTCTGGTGCATAAAATAAGGTTTTTGGGTCTCTCCGCTTGGCTAGTTAGTGCCTCCATTCGATCCGCCGCCCAAGGAGGACTCGCTCATGTGGAACTGGATCAGGATAATCAGGTATGTGGTGGTGGCACCCACAATCTGTAAAGGGAGGGCGCTTTAGCATTCTGTTATCCCGACTTCATCCACTCACCGTGTAGAGAAGCGTGCAGTCCACATTGAAGAAACCAGCAGCGCTGAAGTGGAGCCGCTGGTGGAGCAGCTGCAGCGAGAACTGGGTGATCTGGGGAAGAACGGGGATCATCACGGGGATGTACACAGGATAGAGGGATGTACTCACCAGAGCATTGTGGCTCTCGTTCCTCAGATCCACATCCACCTGGTGCAGGCACAGGGCCAAGCGAGTGGCCTGGAAAGCAAACAAGAAGGCGGTTAGAGAAGGGCTGACCCATGACCCCCAGGATCCTCCGGTCTACTCACACACTGGGCAGTTCGGTCGCAGAGCAGCGAGAGGACGAGCACGTTGCCCAGGTGGGGGGCAGACCACAATGCGCTGGCCACGATCTGCAGGATGTCGTAGGGCGAGGCCGACGACTGTCGGAAGTTGAGGAACATCCAGTAGCAGTTAGAGGTGATGGCCAGGAAGTCGTTGCCCACCTGGATCAGCATGGAGAGACCGTAGCAGCGGTTCAGCAGGGCCACCAGGGCCCATACCCGCTGGTAAACGAGTCTGACGGCAATCAGCCGCTCCATGGCCGCGTGCTCGAGATGGGCGTGCTCCTCTGGCTCCGCTTCCACCGCGGGGCTCTTCTGCTGCAGCTGGAGCTGCTGCAGGGCCACGAGGAGCACGTCCAGGCGCTGCCGCACGATCTGGGTGGCGGTGAAGATCTGAAAGTAGCGCAAACCGCAGACGAGCATGGGAATTAGGTAGAAGATCCAGTACACCGGGAAGCGGTGGCCCGGGGCGACCAGCTTGGCGCCCAGGATGAGAAACTGGCTGACCGCATAGCCCCACATCATCCATACAGCCCGGCTCGTCGTATGCCGGCGCATCTGGAGGCGAACGCCCTCCACGTCCACCCTCAAGGCCTCGGACAGCTGGTGGTCGATCTCGACCAGCTCTGCGAAGAAATCCCGCTGCGCCTGCCGCTGCCACAGAGCCTCGAGCAGGGCGGCCAGGTGGGCCACCCGCATGCCCACCAGTTGGATGAAGTCCACCGTGTGACCAATGCTGGAAATGGTCGAAGATTCCTCTCCTTCCTCCTGCGACTTATCCTGGTCGCTGCTCTCCCGGAAGAGGCCGTAGGCAGTGAAGCCGCTGGCCGCCGTCAGCACGGTCCAGCCGTAGAGCTCCAGCCAGCGGGATCGGCGGAGCAGGATGCCCTCGGTGTCTGGTGGGGGGACGAGGCGCCATGGCCACAGGTTGCACACCTGGCAGACGCGGTGCAGCGGATCGAGAGCCCTCAGCGTATCCATGATGAACTCTCTCTGTTTGATATGCAAGTACGCCGCGTCACTGGATTTTGGTATCTGGGAGATACCAAGATATCAATTAGATTAGCTTATCACTTCCCTGTTCCGCTAATTGAGTGCCCTCCATCCCCAATCCATTTGACCAATCAAGTGCTCCATGCGTTTCGAATGTCAAAAGGTTCGGGAGCTCGGACTGGAAAACACACAGTTGATAAGAAAATTTTAAAGTGAACGAACAACAATGGCAAACGTAACAATTCATAGTCTCGAAAATAATAGGGAGATCTATATCAAGGACAAGGATTTCTACTTGACTATACACACGGAATTGCAATAGCTCCGCAGGTGTCTCTGTGTCAGTCTCGTCGTTTCGGATTAGGTAAGTGCTTAGGTAGTGCCCCCATCAAAATTGGGATAACTCGAACCCCAGTTTAGAGAAAAATAGGAAAATCTACATTAAAGGTCTAGTATAATTACAGAACTAACTAATGAACTATAAATAGTAGTTGATTATATGTACTTTCCTTACCTAAAGATATAAGCCTTGGTAACCTGAGACTGACTGAAGCCAGACACCAATCCGTCCAGCAAAAGCCACCAACTTCAGACGACTGCTCGTATCCTTGCGATAGGGATATGACTGCCAGTTTTGCCAAGTGGCCCATCCATCATGATCAATTAAGCCACTAGTTCAATGTCAGGCCATCAATCAACCTGGGTTCCCTTCTCAAATGAGTCGATTAGTCGAAACTGGAGACGAAGACAGATACCTAACCTCATGACCTGTTGGACCTCGAGGACTCAAAACACACCCGGGCTTCACATAAATACGTTTATTATAATTTCAGATTTTGTTTTGGAAATAGTTCTTGAGATAAGCTTGACGTTTCATAAAATGTAATACATATATATTTCTTTGCGGTAACCTTTGCCCATTATCGGATCTTTGTGCTGGCTCGCTCTCTCCCTGTCTCCGTATAGCTATGGCTACATGGATGCATCATCATCATCATCTTATCATCATCCGCATCCGCCAGATAGCGATTATTCGCTCGGCTCTTGTTTGTAACAATTTTACCTTCTGCATGCACTTGCTGTACTAATGATTATATAGAGCACACACAGATCCCACACACATCGCACACACCATATGGGGATTGCGTGTGTGCGGGGGTGTGTGCGTTTAGTATGTATATTTGATTTAAATCGAAGCTGCTAAAAAGTAAAAGCAAATTCAACAAACAAACTCTCATAGGTCATACATATCGTATTTGATTCTTAGACTAATATAAGGTATGATGCAGATATCTGTTTGTTCTCTGGATATAAGGCAATGGATACATGTGCGTGTGGTTTGGTTTTTGGTTTTTGGTGTGTGGTGTATAGTGTATCGTGTATATAGTCTGATCTGATTGATCTGATCTCAACGAAACTTAAGTCGCAAACAAACGGGGGCAAAGTTAACAAGTTCTCATATTTTCGTATCTTAGGGGAAATTCGTTTCGTGAAAGGCAAAAAATGTCTTCTGGCTGGGAGAAGAGTTCTTTTTTTTTGGGGTTTTTCGTTTTAAGCAACATCAATACGCTCAAGTACATATATATATATATATAGTGTATATAGTTCATGTGTGAGTATTCTTTATCTTTACCATCTTCGGTTTTAGTTTATGTTTTGTTTCGCTTAGCGCACGAATTTGGAAAATAATTAATATTTAATAAACTTGATCATTTGGTTTCTTGTTTTTTGTATTTTCTTTTTGTTTTCTCGGTTATAAATTTAAAATCCTCGAAGCGGAGACTGCAATGCTACTTAATAATCGAAAGACGCTCGGTATCGATCGGTATTCAATATCCCAATCGCATGTGCTGGTCGGACGGGGAACGCGGATCGGGATCGGGATCGGGATCGGAAAGGGGATCGGGACCTGGACCTTACAACCCTGACCTATCAGGAAGGCCCAATGGACCGCCGCATCCTCGAGTAACGTATCCCCGCCCCTCTTAGCCCTACGTGTGTATAATTTTGCTTAAATTTCGCTGGTTGCTTATCAAACGGTTGTAGACTGGACGGTTGCCAGTGACTGTTGTCTGTTTCTGTTGCTGCCTGCCTGTTGCACGTTGCACGTTGCATGTTGCACGTTTGCAGACCTGTTGCTGTTGTATATAAAAAGCAACTCAAAAATATACGCGTACCCTAAAAAGTCTGTCCCGAGCAGCGCATCGCACCACCCGAGTCTATAATTTATAATTGTAACTGGCTCTTTTGGACTGTTTTTGCTGTGGCCTCGAATTGCATGTTCCGCTTTTGCGGTTACTGGTTACTGGTTACTGGTAACGTTGAGTTGATTAAAATTGCCTGTGTGCCTGGTTCACGTCTCGTTCTCGTCCTGCTCTTGCTGCATATTTATCTTGCTTGTTTGTTTGTTTGCAAATTTGTTATTCTATGACTATGAAAAAGTAAAAAAAATATAGAAAAATAACCTTCATTCACTTTGTGTACTCCATATTTATTCGTATTTAGTTATCGACCTTCTGCTCATTCTCGTTTTTGTCTCACAATAGCTGTTTCACTGTCTCCTCACTCCTCACTCCTCACTCCACCCTAACCCCAACCCACCCAACATAGGCCTTCTATTCCTATCCCTAACCCCATACCAGCTTAGCCCACTCAGACCCTTGTAATCCTTATATAGTAACATCAGCATTGACTTTGTCGTCATCGTCGTCTTCGTCTTGCGTTCGTCGTCTTGCCGTCCAACTCTTAGTCGTACCTCATCTTATCCATCCTCGATCCTCCAGCAACAGCGTCGAGTCCTAAGCTCCTTATTACTCGATACTCTCAGTTCCTAGCTACATCACCATCCCAATTCTCAGTTCCCTACTCTTCTCTTCTTCTTCTCTCCTATTAACCCCCATTTGTGGAAGTGGAAGTGTACGTATATCGGTTGCTATAGCTTCTTGGGTTTGTAAGTCTTTCTGCGGCTGCCTGCTGGAACAACGGAACCAAACGCAATATAACAAAACGTAACGAAACAAAGCGGTGAAAATGGACTACGAAAACGATTTGGAGCCTGAGTTATACAATTAATTGGGTTATCGGTTTTCGAATATGGAATTTTGGATTTGGATTTGCTTCGGTGAAGGGTAAATTGTAAATCGTAAATCGTAATTGTAATCGCTTGCTAGCCTTCAACGTTTGATTAAGTTTAGATCCTTCGATCTTTGTCCTTCGCTCTGTATTATGATCGCTTATTATCCTACGGCTACATAGAGCTCTGACTTTGCGGGTTATACACTTGCAGTTAGCTAATGTTCGCTTTAAAATTCGAATACCATACGACGGGTTCGTAAAGGTTTCGACTAATACATTTTTAAACATGAATATTAATTTCTTTATATATAGAGTGTGTGTCTTTTCTTACTTCATCTTAGTTTCTTCTCCTTTCGTCTTTTCTTCGTCTTTTTGGTTTTTTAGCTTTTTGGTTTCTTAGTTTTTGGTTTGGTTTTTTTAGTTTTTTCCATCTTTGTATATTTTAGCTATGCGGTTTTGAAAACTATTTTGATCTTTGGATTACTAGGCAAGGTAGCTTGACGTTATTCAATGAAAGCAACAAATAAGTGCCTTCTTCTCGACTCATCCACTGAGGATCTGCATTGCGTTGCATTGTTTGGTAATTAATCTCTTTAAACTAAATATCAATTAATTACGTAGCTTTTGGTTGGCAGAAATAAGTCGGCGAAAGCTCAATAGACGGCATTGGTAAACAAAATGGCGTCATTCGCGTGACCCGTACTCCGCCATATCAGCCTGCGTCCGTCTCATTTCCGTTTCCTGCGGCTGCTTGCGCACGAAACTTGCCATATTGCATTGTCCTTGTCATCATCATCATCATCATCATCATCCTGATCCTCAATCTCGTCCTGTTGCTGTGGTCGTCGTCGTCGTCATGGTGCTTGTCCTAGTCCTCGTCCTGGTAGCCAGAGCTCGAGTCCAAGCACTTTGTAAGCCATACATAGACTCGATCTCCTGGCAGTGCTCTCCTCGTCCTCGTCCTCATCCTCATCCTCATTCCCGTCGTCGTCGTCTGCTTCGCTGGTTGGGTGCGTTGTGGGTTGGCCTAGTCATCGTCGAATGCAATAAACAAGCCCGTGGCCTAGAACTCCAGGCGATAGGCGGAGCACGAGGTCTCGTGGTCCTGCAGGTTGATGGTGCAGCGAGAGGCGGAGGGCGAGAGGTCGATGCGGTGCTTGGCTAGCAGCTCCTCGTTTTCAGCCACCCAGTAGCCCAGCACGTCGGTATCGTACGTGGGTATGATGGTGACCTCTGGTAGGCAAAGGAAATCGAAAAGGAATTTAGGAAATGTAACAAAGTTGGGAAGAAGCGCGGTACTCACCCAACTCTTTGTCCTCCCATGTCTGTTTGGCCTCTAGTAGCGCATCGTACACCTGGCGACTGGGCTCCGTGCCGGAGAAGACGTAGTAGCGAGCACGCACCCGCTTGAAGAAGTCCACGTGGGCGTAGTAGGAGTTGCCGTTATGCGGCACATATGTGAGGTCCACGTAGACGGGCGCCGGCTTCTTGCCCGCCTTGTTGGGCGATTCGCTGCGCTTGCGCAGGTTCTTCTCGTTGTTCAGTCGCGTCTTGGTGGCCACCAGGCGGCGTTCCTTCTTGGGAGTGGTGCGAATATCAGAGCCGCCCTCCACGGGCAGCGGTGCTGGCGATGGCAGGCCCAGGGGCTTGCCCCACTCCTCCAGTCGGTCCTTGGGCAGGGCTCCAGTGGAACTCGTTGTGGTTATGGCGCCTGCTGATGTTGCTGCAGCTGTGGTTGTGGTGGTGGTGGTGGCGGCGACGGCCTCCTCCTGCTGCTGCTGCGGCTGGGAGGTCACACTGCCCACGGTGGCGAAGCCACTCTCCGCCACGCGGGCGCGCTGAACATCGCTCAGCGGGAAGCGTTGGCGTTCCGCAGTGCTGGTAACGATCTGCTCCATCTCCTCGGCCTTGGAGGGCGAGTAGGAGTACTTGGCGGTGACGGAAGACATAACCTCGGCGCCGCGCGCCTGCACGTGCTCCTCGAGCGCCCGCTGGAAGTCCTTGTCCGCCTGGTCGAGGAACTTGTGTCCCGCCCAGGTCTGGCTGCTGCTCTCGACGCTCTCCGACGACTGGCTGTCGCCCGACGGGACCCCCTGGATCGGGATTGGCTCAGTGCTGGGCTTGATTGAAACGGCGGCGCCGAAGCTGTCGGGCAAGGCACCGTAGAAGGAGGTGGCCATGGGATCGGCCGTGCGGGGCAGCAGGATCGAGCGCGCCGTCGAGTGCTCCTCGCTGCCATACTGCGGAGGAATGTCGTCCTGGCTCTCATCGCCATCGGCGTCCAGGTCGGAACGCTTGCTCACGCCGGAGCTTGAATGCTGCAGCTCGTAGCTGGCGGTGCTGCGCGGGGATCCAAGCAGCAGGTCCTCGTCGTCGTCGCGCAGCAGCGACACCTCCTTGGGCAGCAGCTGGTCGCGTTCGCTTTCGCTGGTGGTGCGAGTGGTGGTTACCACCACCTTTTCGCTATCCGGCTCCGAGCTGTCCGTGGTGGTCACCGTCTTCTGTTCGGTCACGATTTCCTTGCCGTCCGCCGAGATCACCTTGGTCACTGTGGTGATGGTGGTGGTGATTATCTTATCTGTGCTGCCGCTGAGGGCGGTGGTGCACTCGAGTCCGCGCAGCTCGTGGAGCTCGGGAAGATCTGGCTCGCACTCAGCTCCGGCTGCAGCGACTGCTCCTGCCAGCATCTGCTCCTGTTCGTGCTGCTACAAGGGATAGGATTATATAAGATTTACAAAATTAATACTCTTCTGACTTACCTGAATTTCCAAAGACTTGAGCTCATCCTTGGTGACGCGCGGGAAAGGCGACGTGGGCTTGGGCGAGGACTCCGGGGTTTCCGTGTGCGACTCCCGACCCAGCGGAGTGGGAATGGACTGGCTCTCGGAGGTAAGTCCTCCGGGACTGGACTTGCCGCTGATGTCCTTGGGCGACAGTGGTCCCGAAGAGGAGACGATGCTGGCAGCACTGGATTCACACTTTCCGCCAGCCGCACCGGCTCCAGATCCAGCTCCGGCTCCAATCACTGAGCCAGCAGATCCTGTCGAACTCAATGGCTTGACGCTTGGACTGACGGGCGCTGTTGGCGGAGTCTTGCGGTCAGCGGGCTCAGCCTGGAACTGGGCCTGATCCTGGCCAGACTGCTGATCTATCTGTGTGAGTGTGATGGACTCCACCTTGGAGGCACAGGTCTTGGAGCTGCTGCTAGTGGTTGTGCTGCTGCTCTGTTCACTGGACTGCAGAAGAGTTGTGGTCTTGCTGGTGGTGGTGGTGGAGGTGGAAGTCAAGGCGGAGGTGGCCTCCTGACCCAGCAGATCCACATGTTCGTGCTCCTCCTCGGCGAGCGGGTCAATTGACTCAATATCCTCGGAAGGCTTGTAGATGCTGGTCATCATGATGGTGGCAATGGACTTGGAGCGGCTCTCCTTCACACTGGCACGCTCGTCCTCGTCATCATCGGGCTCCTCATCCTCGGGATCACTGTGGGTTAGGCGGCCCTCGCTGGCCTGGCTCAGCAGGGACTCCCGTCGCGACTCGTCCGTGCCCACGAAGAGCGCCCGCTGGGAGGCGGTGGTGCTGGAGCTGGAGACGCTGCTGGCGGTGACCTTCTTCAGGCACTCGTCGGCCGACTTGGCGGCCTCAGTGCTAAATGACTCCTTGGCGGAGACGATCTTCTCGGTGGCCAGGAACTCGGCCACGGTCTCCTTGAGGCTATCGTCTTTCGTGGCACTGGTGGTGCTGGTGCTGAAGCTGCTGGTCTCCTTGGTCTCCTTGATTTCCTTGGTGTCCTTGGTTTCCTTGACCGACTTCAGGGCGCTGCTGGTCTGAATCTCACTGACGATTGATTCCGACGAGCATTCCTCCGACTGTACCTGCAGCTCCTCCAGCTGGGAGGCGGAGGTGCTGGTGTCCTCCTTCAGACTGGCGCCTGTTATGGTGCTTCCCTTCTCGGCCAGCAGGCTGGTAAGCGACTCGCGTCGGGAGCTATCCTCCACCTTGAGGCTGCTGCTCAGGGAGTCGCTGGTAGACTCTTCGCGGAGTTGGACCGACTGACTAGAGAGGACTGTAGACTTGGTAACGAAAGTGGACACAGACTCCACACTCGACTTCTCCTCCACCTGCTTGCTCTCAACGGTCTCAGTTGTGGTAAGTGAGTGGAGCAGCGACTCTGTCGTCTCCTCATCGCCATCCTTGGTACTAAACTGGCTGGTGCTGGATGCTGGGCGTGAGATCTTTACGTCCTTGTCGCTCACCTGGCTGGCAACGGACTCGGGGCGCGAGATCCTCTCACCCTTGTGGCTCTCGGAGAGCACAGACTCGCGTTTGGACTCCTCCTTGCTGGGAAGGGGAGATGTGGGCTCCTTGGCCAGGGAGTCCGCCTCCTTCTGCTCGTGGCTGGCCACTGATTCTGGACGAGAGGGCACCGACTCCACCTGGCTGGCAACCGATTCTGGGCGACTGACAGCCGCTGCTCCCTGGCGCAGCTGAGCCTTCTCAGACTGCTCGATTTTGTCCTTCTCCTCGATGGAGATAGGGCCGGACTTCTGGTCGGGCGATGACTTCTCTGACTCGATTTCCACTTTGACGCTAATCTCCAGCGATTTCTCGTCCCTAACACTTTTGTCGGATTCCTCCTCTGTGTCGGCGGTGGACTTTAGCTTCTCCTCCAGCTGGCGTTCGTCAAAGTCGGGTATTATGTCGGTGATGTCCTTGTCGGACTTGAGAACCTTGGCCACGTCTGCAACGATTTTAAACACTTCCTCCTCGCGCGGCGATAGTGGTCGTATCGGCTGGGGCGGGAGGATTCCAGTCTTGTCGCCATCGCTGGGAGGAGAGAAGCGATGCTCCTCGTCCTCCTCCTTGATGTCGTGCAATACGGGCTCATCCCGCTCGCAGATCGTAACCGTGAACTCCGGCGAGCCGACGGTGGTGATGTGCGTTTCCCGCAGCTCCGAGAACGTGCCCAGCTCCAGGCTGCTCTTGTCCTGACCACTCTCCGTAGAGATTTCAGATACTTTGGTGACTTGCTCGGTAACCTCTTCGGTTGCCTTCTCGCTTACTTTCTCGGTGACCTCCTGCACTTTCTTCTCAACGGTCTCCACTGCAGAGCTCAGTAGGCTGGTGACGCTGCTAATCTTGGTGTCCAGCACAGATTTGATCTGGGTCAGCTGCTCGGTGCTCTCCTTGCTCACCTGCTCCAGAGTCTCGGCCACAGTGGTTTCCACCTGCTTCACTGAACTCTCGACCTTCTCTTCAACCTGCTTTGCTGAACTCTCGACCTTCTCCTCCACCTGCTTCACCGAGGTCTCCAGCTTCTCCATCTTTTCCTCAACCTTGGAGGAAATCGTTTCGAACAACGATGCTTCCGACTGCTTGGTTACGGTCTCGGTCTCGGTCGCTGTCTCTGATTTGGTTTCCTTCAGACCCAGCAGGTCTGCTTCAGGTGTCTCCTTCAAGACCCCATCGCCAGGTGTGATATGCTCTTCAGCTACCTCGATGGCCTCCAGGACTGGAGAAGCCTCGTCTACGGGACTGGAGGCTGTTTGCGCCGTATCCGCCTGGGAGAGCTCTCCTGGCTTGGAAAGTGTAGCTGGAAGAGCTGAGGAGGGCTCAACTTGTGCCTTCGAGAAGTCTCCTTCGGCCACATCGACGGGACTCGAGAGAGTTGGGAGCTTGCCCTTGGCCTCGGTTGTCGTCTGGATCAGGGGCAGACTAAGGTCAGCGATGGATCGTGGACCTTCTTCAATGGGAGAGGAGGCGGTCTCCGCCACCGATGCAGGGCGAGAGGCTTCCTTCGAGGCAGCTGCTGACTTCTCGGCCACCGACTCTGGGCGCGATGGAAGCGGTGACTTCTCCTCCTTGACGCTCGCTGCCGCCACGCTTTCGGCCACTGACTCTCGTCGGGATGCCTCCTGCGACTTGTCGATGGCGGCGCTTTCTGCGACTGAGGCTGGACGAGATGCTTCCTTGGATGGGGCGGGTGACGAGTCACTCGTTTTACTAGGTGCCTGAATACTCTCAGCCACGGACTCGGGACGCGATTTGTCATCAGGTACGCTGTCGGTCCTTGTGACCTCCTCCGCCACCGAAGGTTGTCGGGAGGCGTCTGGTTTCACACTCTCGGCAATTGACTCACGACGGCTTTCTGACCTCTCAGCTTCGTCCTTATCGCTTTCTAAAACGGATTCTGGTCTTGATGCTTCCTTGGACGCCGGAAAAGATTTGCTTTCCGCCTTAACGCTTTCAGCCACTGACTCTCGCCGAGATTCTTCCTTGGATTTCTCAGCTTCACCTTTTACACTTTCTGCAACTGATGCTGGTCTGGAAGCTTCCTTGGAGGCCAGCGGTGATTTCTCGTCCTTAGTACTCTCTGCCTTAATGCTTTGTGCCACCGACTCTGGCCTGGATGGCTCCTTGGACTTGTCAGCCTCATCCTTGACGCTTTCTGCAACGGATGCTGGTCTGGAGGCTTCCTTGGATGCCAATGGTGACTTTTCGTCGAGCGCACTTTCTCCCTTGGCGCTTTCTGCAACGGATTCGGGACGAGAGGCTTCCTTCGACTGGGCAGCGTCATCTTTTACGCTATCGGCCACGGATTCCGGCCGGGACGCCTTGGCACTCTCGGCCTTGATGCTCTCGACCACCGACTCTCGACGGCTTTCCGGCTTTTCAGCTTCGTCCTTGACACTCTCGATTACTGATCCGGGTCTTGAGACTTCCTTCGATGCAAGCGGGGACGTGGACTCCTTGGCACTATCAGCTACCGATTCCCGTCGGGATGGTTCCTTTGACTTTTCAGCCTCGTCCTTAACACTTTCTGTCACTGATCCTGGTCGAGAAACTTCCTTGGAGGCTTGGGCGGATTTCTCATCCTTCGTGCTTTCCGCCTTGGCGCTTTCTGCTACAGAGGCCGCTCGGGATGGTTCCTTTGACTTTTCAGCCTCGTCCTTAACGCTTTCGGTCACTGACCCTGGTCGAGAAACTTCCTTGGAGGCTTGGGCGGATTTCTCATCCTTCGTGCTCTCCGCCTTGGCGCTTTCTGCTACGGATGCCGCTCGGGATGGTTCCTTTTCAGCCTCGTCCTTAACGCTTTCTGTCACTGATCCTGATCGAGAAACTTCCTTGGAGGCTTGGGCGGACTTCTCATCCTTCGTGCTTTCCGCCTTGGCGCTTTCTGCTACAGATGCCGCTCGGGATGGGTCCTTTGACTTTTCAGCCTCGTCCTTAACGCTTTCTGTCACTGATCCTGGTCGAGAAACTTCCTTGGAGGCTTGGGCGGACTTCTCATCCTTCGTGCTTTCCGCCTTGGCGCTTTCTGCTACAGATGCCGCTCGGGATGGTTCCTTTGATTTTTCAGCCTCATCCTTGACGCTTTCTGCAACGGATTCCGGTCGGGATGGTTCAATGGACTTTTCAGCCTCATCCTTGACACTTTCTGCAACGGATTCCGGCCTGGAGGCTTCCTTACAGGCCAGTGGGGACTTCTTGTCCTTTTCACTTTCCGGTTTGATGCTATCGGCCACAGACTCCCGACGACTTACGGTCTTGTCGCCTTCATCCTTGACACTTTCCACAATGGACTCTGATCGGGAAGGTTCCTTCGAGTGAAGGGCGGACGTTTCGTCCTTTGCACTTTCTGGCTTTACGCTTTCTACGACGGATTCACGACGACTTTCAGCCTTCTCGGCTTCATCCTTAACGCTTTCTACGACGGATCCAGGTCGAGAAACTTCTTTCGAAGCAAGTGGTGACTTTTCACCCTTTGCGGTCTCCACCTTAGTGCTTTCTGCGATGGAAGCTCGTCGTGAAGCTTCTTTGGATTTTTCTGCTTCATCCTTTACACTTTCCACTACAGATTCTGGGCGTGAGATCTCCTTGGAAGCGAGGGGCGACTTGTCGTCCTTAACACTACCTTGCTTAATACTCTCGGCAACTGACTCCCGACGGCTTTCGGGCTTCTCAGCTTCGTCCTTGATGCTCTCCACCACCGATTCTGGCCGGGAAGCTTCCTTTGAGGCGAGTGGCGACTTTACGTCTACGGATTCCGGTCGGGATGGCTCCTTTGATTTTTCTGCTTCATCCTTGACACTTTCCACTACGGATTCCGGCCGGGAGGCCTCTTTCGAGGCGAGAGGAGATTTCTCGTCCTTGGAGCTATCTGGCTTAATGCTTTCGGCAACGGATTCCCGACGGCTTTCGGATTTCTCAGTTTCATCCTTGAGGCTCTCAACAACTGATTCTGGCCTTGAGGCATCCTTGGAGGCCAACGCAGACTTATCGTCCTTGGTACTGCTCGCTTGAAGGCTGCCTGCGATCGATTCACGTCGGCTCTCTGGTTTTTCATCCTCATCCTTGAGACTTTCGATGGCAGATGCTGGTCGGGAGGCATCCTTTGATGCCTCTGGAGATTTTTCGTCTTTTGTGCTATCTACCTTGAGGCTTTCCACTATAGACTCCCGCCGGGATGGTTCCTTGGACTTCTCAGATTCAGCTGCAACGCTTTCGACTACCGAGTCTGGACGGGACGCATCCTTTGAGACTGGTGGGGTTGGGGACTTTGCATCCTTGGTTTCTGGCGTTGTACTATCGACGACCGATTCTGGACGGCTTTCAGGTTTTTCAGCATCATCTTTAATGCTCTCTACGACGGATCCAGGTCGAGAGACTTCCTTAGATGCCAGCGGAGATTTTTCGTCTTTGGGGCTTTCCGGTTTGGTGCTTTCTGCTACGGATTCTCGGCGAGATGGTTCCTTGGATTTGTCAGCCTCTTCAGCGACAGCTTTCACGATAGTTTCTGATTTTAGGTCAAGTGACGGCTTGTCATCTGGCTTAGCAACAGATTCTCTACGGCTTTCAGCAATCTCATCCCCGTCCTTAACACTTTCCACTACCGACTCAGGTCGGGAAACCTCCTTGGCGCTTTCCCCCTTAGTGCTTTCTGCAACGGACGGTGGACGCGATGATTCCTTAGATTTTTCAGCATCGTCCTTGAGACTTTCCACCACCGATCCAGGCCGGGAAATCTCCCTCGATGCAAGAGGGGATTTATCGTCTTTCGCACTATCCGCCACAATACTTTCAGCTACGGACGGTGGACGCGATGAATCCTTGGATTTTTCGGCTCCGTCTTTAATGTTTTCTACTACGGATCCTTGTCGGGACGCTTCCTTAGAGACCTCTTGAGAAGCGGTTGCAGACTTCTCATCCTTAACACTGTCTGGCTTTGAACATTCTGCGACGGATTCACGCCGAGACGCCTCTTTGGAGGCGATTACGGAAACAGGTTTCTCAGCTTCATCCTTGGCACTTTCAGCAGGAGATTCAGGGCGCTCTTCTGCCGGAGATCCAATAAGAGATTTGGGAGCCTCGTCTACCGGACTCGATGCTGTCTTCTGAATGTCCACTTTGGACAGTTCAGCAGGCTGGGCTGAAGTAGGAGAACTTGTGGGTGTTGCTGTCTGGGGGAAATCCCCATGGGCCACATCCACAGGGCTCGACAGAGTTGGGAGATCACCCTTTAGTTCACTACTCAAAGGTAGCACGAGTTCGGCCAAGTCTTTGGGAGCTTCATCGATCGGCGATGATGCTGTCTCTGCGACCGAAGGTGGGCGAGAAGCTTCCTTGGAGGCAACTGGAGATTTCAAATCCTTCACTTCTGTGGATTTTTCATCCACTGAACTCTTGAGCTGCACATCATCATCCTTGTGACTTTCTGCAACTGATTCGGCCCTTGAGGGTTCCTTCGAAGCGAGTGCCGACTTGTCATCTTTGGCACTCTCCGCACTTGCGCATTCTGCCGGAGAATCTGGTCGGGATACTTGCTCAAGAGCAGAGGGGGATTTGGGAGCCTCGTCCACAGGAGACGAGACCGTATCAGCTGCACCAACCTGCGAGAGCTCTGCTGGTTTGGTAAGTGTGGCTGAGACGGAGGAGGCAGAAGCCATGACATGGGAAAAGTCACCCTCGGCCACGTCAACGGGACTCGAGTCCGTTGGCAGTTTTCCTCCAGAGCCCGCTTGCAGATTAAGAGCAAGGCTAGCTCTCTTCACGACCTCTATCTCCGAGAACTCCATGGCCGCTTCCTCAATTGGCGAGGAGGCAGTTTCACCAACAGACCCTGGCCGGGATGCGTCTTTTGGGGAAATGGAAAGCTTGGACTCGACCTCAGCAGCGACGGCAGGTTCATGATCACTGGCCACAGATGTTGGCCTGGGAGAGGACTCCTTCGAAATGACAGCAGACGGTTCAACCAGTGATTCGCGGCGAGAGGGCTCCTTTGACTTGTCGTCCTTGATGCTTTCGGGCTTTTCAAGATCGTCCTTAACACTTTCAGCCACGGATCCTGGCCTGGACACATCCTTCGAAGCCAATGGAGACTTCTCGTCCTTAGCACTAGAGGCCTTGATGCTTTCAGCGACCGATTCCCGACGACTTTCTGGTTTTTGTGTTTCATCCTTTACGCTTTCACCAACGGATGCCGGGCGCGATTTCTCGTCCTAAGTAGAGGGGAAAACAAGAAAATATTAAAACAAATCATTGTTGTATTAAGACACAGATAAAATAAAAGTTAAATAAGGTAAGAAAAGGATCAGCCATTCTAGTTGATATAATAATTAAGAACATATCAATTTCTTACCAGGACGCTTTCCGCTTTTAGACTTTCAGCGATGGATTCCCTTCTCGATGGCTCCTTTGATTTTTCGTCCTCATCTTTCACGCTTTCAGCCACAGATTCTGGTCGGGAAGCTTCCTTAGAAGCTAGTGGAGACTTGTCATCCTTTGAACTATCTGGTTTAACGCTTTCTGCGACTGATCCCCGCCGGGATGGCTCCTTGGATTTGTCAGCCTCGTCTTTCACACTCTCCGCTACAGATTCTGGGCGAGAAACTTCCTTTGAAGCTGCTGCAGACTTCTCGTCCTTGGCTTTTTCCAGTGCGGCACTCTCAGCAAAAGATTCGCGACGACTTTCTGGCTTTTCAGTTTCGTCCTTCACGCTTTCCACCACGGATTCTGGTCTAGATGCTTCCTTGGAAGCCAGAGGAGATTTGTCATCCTTAGTGCTCTCCGCTTTGACGCTTTCGGCTACAGATTCTCGACGGGATGGCTCCTTCGACTTGTCTGCCTCGCCCTTAGCGCTCTCCGCCGCAGACTCTGGCCGAGAAACTTCCTTTGAAGCTGCCGCAGACTTCTCTTCTTTGGCTATTTCTGGTGAAGCTGCAATAGATTCGCGACGACTCTCTGGCTTTTCTGCTTCGTCCTTAACGCTTTCTACCATGGATTCTGGCCTAGATAGTTCCTTGGAGGCTGGAATAGGTTTGTCATCGATGCTGCTCTCCGCCCTAACGCTTTCGGCCACCGACTCTCGTCGAGATTCTTCCTTGGACTTTTCAGCTTCATCTTTCACACTTTCTGCAACTGATGCTGGTCTGGAAGCTTCCTTGGAGGCCAGCGGTGATTTCTCGTCCTTAGTACTCTCCGCCTTAATGCTTTGTGCCACCGACTCTGGCCTGGATGGCTCCTTGGACTTGTCAGCCTCATCCTTGACGCTTTCTGCAACGGATGCTGGTCTGGAGGCTTCCTTGGATGCCAATGATGATTTTTCGTCCAGGGCACTTTCTCCCTTGGCGCTTTCTGCAACGGAATCGGGACGAGAGACCTCCTTCGACTGGGCGGCTTCATCTTTCACGCTTTCTGCCACCGACTCACGTCGAGATGGTTCCTTAGACTTGTCAGCCTCCTCCTTAACACCTTCCGCCACGGATTCTGGTCTAGAAGCTTCTTTTGAGGCCAATGCAGACTTATCGTCCTTAGCACTTTCGGCCTGTACACTTTCTGCAACAGATTCTCGTCGAGACGGACTCTTCGGTTTGTCAGACTCATCTTTAACGCTTTCCACCTTTGATTCTGGTCGGGATGGTTCCTTGGAGTCTTTGGTGCTGTCTGGCTTAACGCTTTCAGCGACCGATTCGCGGCGGCTCTCTGGCTTTTCAGATTCATCCTTGACGCTTTCCACCACAGATTCTGGCCTAGAAATCTCCTTTGAGGGAACTGAGGATTTTTCGTCGGTAATGCTCTCTGGCTTTGCACTTTCAACTGATTCACGACGGCTTTTTTCCTTTTCAGCCGCATCCTTCTCGCTTTCGACAGCAGACTCTGGTCGTGAAACTTCCTTTGATGCTGGAGCAGTTTTGTCATCGGCAACAGGCTTGACACTTTCCACCACAGATTCTGGCTTGTCAGTATCATCCTTATCGCTTTCCGCCGCTGAATCTGGTCTGGAGACATCCCTAGAGGCAATAGGCGACTGGTCAACCTTGCCGATTTCTGTCTTAATTATTTCCGCAACGGATCCTGGTCGCGAAGGTTCTGCGGATTTGACGACTTCATCCTTTACACTTTCGGCAACCGATTCTGGTCGCGAAACATCTTTGGAGGCAAGAGGGGACTTTTCGTCCTTGGCACTCTCCGCCTTAAGACTTTCAGCCACGGACTCACGTCGTGATTCCTCCTTAGACTTAATTGCCTCATCTTTGATGCTCTCGGCCACGGATTCTGGTCGGGAAGCCTCTTTCGAGGCGAGCGGTGACTTTTCATCCTTGGCACTCTCGGCCTTGATGCTCTCGACCACCGACTCTCGGCGGCTTTCCGGCTTCTCAGCTTCGTCCTTGACACTCTCGATTACTGATCCGGGTCTTGAGACTTCCTTCGAAGCAAGCGGGGACTTGGCCTCCTTGGCACTATCAGCTACCGATTCCCGTCGGGATGGTTCCTTTGACTTTTCAGCCTCGTCCTTAACGCTTTCTGTCACTGATCCTGGTCGAGAAACTTCCTTGGAGGCGTGGGCGGACTTCTCATCCTTCGTGCTTTCCGCCTTGGCGCTTTCTGCTACAGATGCCGCTCGGGATGGTTCCTTTGACTTTTCAGCCTCGTCCTTAACGCTTTCTGTCACTGATCCTGGTCGAGAAACTTCCTTGGAGGCTTGGGCGGATTTCTCATCCTTCGTGCTTTCCGCCTTGGCGCTTTCTGCTACAGATGCCGCTCGGGATGGTTCCTTTGACTTTTCAGCCTCGTCCTTAACGCTTTCTGTCACTGATCCTGGTCGAGAAACTTCCGTGGAGGCTTGGGCGGACTTCTCATCCTTCGTGCTTTCCGCCTTGGCGCTTTCTGCTACAGATGCCGCTCGGGATGGGTCCTTTGACTTTTCAGCCTCGTCCTTAACGCTTTCTGTCACTGATCCTGGTCGAGAAACTTCCTTGGAGGCTTGGGCGGACTTCTCATCCTTCGTGCTTTCCGCCTTGGCGCTTTCTGCTACAGATGCCGCTCGGGATGGTTCCTTTGATTTTTCAGCCTCATCCTTGACGCTTTCTGCAACGGATTCCGGTCGGGATGGTTCAATGGACTTTTCAGCCTCATCCTTGACACTTTCTGCAACGGATTCCGGCCTGGAGGCTTCCTTAGAGGCCAGTGGGGACTTCTTGTCCTTTTCACTTTCCGGTTTGATGCTATCGGCCACAGACTCCCGACGACTTGCGGTCTTGTCGCCTTCATCCTTGACACTTTCCACAACGGACTCTGGTCGGGAAGGTTCCTTCGAGGGAAGAGCGGACGTTTCGTCCTTTGCACTTTCTGGCTTCACGCTTTCGGCCACTGATTCCCTGCGGCTATCCACCTTCTCAGCTTGATCCTTGATGCTTTCAGCGACTGACTCTGGCCGGGACGCTTCCTTGGAGGCCAGCGGTGACTTCTCATCTTTTGTGCTCTCGGCCCTGACGCTTTCTGCGATGGATTCACGACGGGACGGCTCCTTCGACTTATCTGCCTCGTCTTTGGTGGTCTCTGCCACAGATTCTGGTCTGGAGGCTTCCTTCGAGGCCAAGGGAGATTTTTCGTCCTTTGCACTTTCTGGTTTAATGCTTTCCGTAGTAGATTCCCGGCGGCTTTCCGGTTTCTCGGCTTCATCTAGGACATGCTCAAGAGCGGATTCAGGCCGCGAAGCATCTTTGGAAGCTGGTGCGGATTTGTCATCCTTATGGCTCTCGGCTACGGATTCCCGTCGGGAGGGTTCCTTGGACTTTTCGACTTCCGCTTGAACACTGCCCGCTACTGAGACTGGTCGGGAAACTTCTTGGGAGGCGGGTGCGGATTTTTCGTCCTTGACGCTATCTGGCTTCTTGCTCTCTGCCACCGATTCCCGTCGGCTCTCCGGCTTCTCAGCCTCATCTTTGACGCTCTCCGCAACGGATTGCGGGCGCGAAGCTTCTTTGGAAGCTAGTGGAGACTTTTCGTCGGGCCTAGCTTCATCTGCCGCCGATTCGGGACGGGAGGCCTCCTTAGAGGCAGCAGTTGACGTGTCCGCCTTGGCACCCTCTGCCAGACCTGGCTCTGGTTTTTTTGCTTCCTGCTTGGCCTGCACCTCAACCTCTATGGCCTCCTCGATGGTGGCGGGACTCTCCATGGAGACGGTGTCCTCACGTTCCTTGGCCTCCTTCGGGGGTAGGGTCACCGGTTGCACCAGCTGGGCTGGCAGCTCATCCTCGGAGGTAATGTCGCTGGTCTCCTTCTCTTCGGGAGTGCTGGCCGACTTTTTGGCCTCCTTTTCGGTTATGATTCCTGACTCTGCCTTTTGTTCGGACTCTGGTTCCATGTCCTTCTCTTGCTCTTTTGGCTGATCCTGGCTCTCTTGGGTGGGGGCCACAATTGCCTCCACAATCGGTTCGGTCTCCAGGGTCACAACCACCTCCTCTGCCTTTTTCTCCACTGCAGCTTCAGTTGCCTCGACCTTCTCCACAACCACCTCCTCGACTGGCTCTTTGAGTTCCACTTTAGGGGGTTCTTCCTCTTTCGGTTCAGCCTGCTCCTCTTCGACCTCTGCTTCCTTGGTCTCCTTTTCATCGTCCGTTTCCTTTTCTTCCTTGGCAGACTCCTCTTTATGCGAAATGCTCTTGGCACCGACGTCCTGGCTGTCCTTTTCGTACAACCCGAGATCGGCTTCCTCGTGGACGGGCAGATCGGCCACTTCGTCGGGCGTCTTGATAACATCTCGCAGAAGGTTCTGCTGCGCCTCAAAGGTCATCTTCATGGGCAGCACTCGTTCCCCAGAGTCTGGAAGCTCGCCCAAAATATCCCTCTTGGCGTCCTTGGGGGCATCCTTAGTAGTTGCGGCCAGCACGGCCTCAATTGCGGATGGAGCCGCTTCGGGAAGAGCCTGTACGGTGGCCACTACAATGGCCTCCACTTCCTTCGTCTCTTCCTTGACATACTTCTCCTCGATCACCAGGTCCTCCTTGATCTGATCCAGCGGGATGCGCTCGTCCTCGGGAAGTGTGGGCGCTGTGGTGGCCCCCGACTCAATGGTGGCCGAGAACTTCTCTTCGGGCAGGCTTTCTTGAAGATTGACGGGCAGCACGTCGACTGGAGCTCCGACTGGGTCGTCTTTGGTATCCGAAGTCTTCTTGCTCAGTTTCTCCTCGGGCGTTGGCGAGGAGAACTCCTCCTCCTGAGCGGGCTTGGCCAACTGCTCCTCGGTACGCGACTTGGCAATATCCTTGGCAGCAGCAATGATCTCCTGCACCTCGGCCTTGATCTCGCTCTGCTCCAGGTCCGCTTCCTGTTCCGACTCATCCTGGTCCTGCCGTCCAGATGCGGAGGCGCCCTCCATTCGAGCCTTGCGCTCGGCCGCTTCCACCTTGGCAATGGCCGCCTCGATCTCCTCCTCGGCGCTCTTCTTGCGCTTCTTCTCCGACTCTTGCGAGTCGCGCTGGTGCTTCTGGATCTCCTCCTCCTTGGTCATGCTGCTTTCCTGCTCAACGATCGAATCTTCGGTATACTGCTCCACCTCCTCCTTTTCGATGATCAGGTACTCCTCCTCCTCCTCGGGTTCATCCTCACCATCGCCGGTTCCCTCAGCGGGCATTTCGCGCAGCTCGGCCTTAATCTGCTGGTGCTGGTGGCGCTTCATTTCGTCCCGGCTGAACACCGCCTCGATCTCGCGCACCACCTCCTGTTCCTCCTTAAGGTCGTCCAGTTCGCGCTGCTTCTCGGCGTCGAGTTCCTGTGAGGCGGTAAGGTCCTGTAGTTTCTTGGCAGCCGTGGCCTCGTCGACGGAGGGAGTGGACACCAGGCTAGAATCGGTGGTGCCGCCCTTGTCCAGGCGCGTCTTCTTAAGATCCGCCGCCTTTGGCTTGGCCTGCTTCACTGGACTACCAGGTGCCGGTGCTCGCTTCGAGGGCGAAACGCCACGTGGTCTCCGCGAGATCGGCTTCCTCTGGGCCGCCTGAGTGGCCCCAGTCGCCGCTGTCTTCGTTTCCGCCTGCTGTTGGACTCGCCGTTCGCTGGTGGCGCTAGTGACTCGCCTGGAGGTGGCTGTGCTGGTGGCCTGAACGCGAGCCGCCTGCTGTTTGGACTCTAGCACCTTGCGATTGTTGGCTTCCTTGGCGCTCTTGGCCGGAGTGCTGCTGGGACTGGACTTGGTGGCTGGGCGGCTCAGCACCTTCGGCTTGGCGTCGCGGGCTGCTGGTGCACGGGCTGCTGGTGTGGCCGTGGGCGAGCTCTTCTTCTCGTCCCGCTTGGCCAGCTTGCGGTCCATGGACTTGGGCGGCTTGGTGTCGATGCGGGACCGAACCACGGGCTTCACCTCCGCCCGTGGCTTTTCCGCCTTGCCCTTGGCAGACGCCTTGCCTGGCTTGCCGCCGGTGGGCGTGGCATCGGCGGGAGCTGCATCCACTCCATCTTTGCCAGAGGCTGGGGCTGCTGCTGGTGCTGTCGCCTGCTGGGGCTTCATGATTAGAACCTCCACCTTCTTCTCCTCGCCCACATCCTTGTTGTCCTGCTCGACTGGCTCGGTTTCCTGTTCGTGCTCGGGTTCCGTTTCCGCTTCGGCCTCCTGCTCGGCGGGAGCAGCCTCATCCCCAGTGTCAGCGGGTTCAGGTTCCGCCTCCTGCTCCGGCTCTACATCCGTGTCCATGGAATCCGCTTTGGTGCGGGCAATGGATGCGGCAGATGCAGCTGCCGACGCCGCCGCAGCCTCCTTTGCCTTGTTGTCCTGCTGCTGAGGATGAGGGTGCTGGATAGCTATGGCGGCACTGGCCACGGGACCGAACTTGCTGGACTTGTAGCTGGCGCTGGGCGGAGCCGGAGTAGACTCAATGGCGGACTTCAGGCTCTTTCGCGTTCCGGCCACAGTCTGGATGGCTGGGGCAATCGACTTGGCTGTGCAGGTGGAGTGCTTCATGAACTCCAGGTGCTTCAGCTTCTCGAGACCCTCCTGGATCTTGAAGTCAGGAGTGCTGCCCGGGAAGAGGATGCGAGTGATGGTGTCGTCCGGATTGGCCGGCTGCCAAACGAGCAGGGCGCAAATGGAGACCAAGTTCTGCAGCGGGAAGTTAAAGTCGCGCGACTCACGGGCGGCAAAGAGCCGCTGGTCGCCGGCGTGCCACTTCTGGAGGAACTCCTTAACCTCCTTGGAGTCGCGCGCTGGGCTTATCACATACATGTCCAGAGTGCCGTGACCCACCTTGTGGTAGAGGTTGACCGGCTCCTGGTTGCGGTAGCAGCCCTGTGGCTTGAGATCCAGTGCCTTGAGGTCGCTGACGATACCGTGTCCGCGCTCGAAGAGATCGATTAAGAGTGGGTCGCGATCCTTGTCGCCGTCGGGGCTGGGCAGGCCCTTGCGGTCAGGTACATTGCCGAAGAAGTGCCCGATCTGGGGGTAGACGTGGGAGTCCCGCTTGCGCGACACCACCGCCCCCAATCCCTGGACGTTGCTGTTGTTCAGGCGCGTCATCAGCACCGCGTCCAGTCGGTCCAGGTGCCGGGCAAAGTCCCAGAAGCATGCCTTACGGTTGAAGCCGCCATCAACTGCAGAAGGAGATTAGGTTGAGTTACTAAGATAAGTGCTACGTATGATTGTACTTACCAAGCATGTTGAAGCCGTTGATCCCGAAGAGGGCAGCATCACCCTGGCCGCCGGGGAAGACGTATAGCGTGGGGTGGGTGAAGCGGATATTTCCCACCACGTCCGAGGTCTCGAGCAGCTCCCTCAGCGAAGTTGGCATCACCATGGGCGCCAGGTAATCTGTGCAAAAATACAGCTTGGTAAGTTCAGGGTTCTCAGAAAAAACATTATAACTGGAGATTAAATTGCTCTCGGTACTACTTTCATATTAATTTCAAGATTGGTTTGCCTCAAAAATTAAAATCAAGACTACTCTTATATACTCTTCAAGATCGATTAATCTTGCAAAACGAACTTGAGAGCACTTTCGTCATGATTTCAAGAACGTTTTTTTTCGAATAAGAGAGAAAACGAACTCTCAAATTGATAACACTTGGTCTTGGCTATTTTCCGTTCTCCATTTCTCGGATGTAGGAAATCGTACCTATAAATCCGTTGATACACTCGCTGCTCGTGTCCAGGACGTCGACGGGATTGATCCGGATCCGGCACTGGCGAGCAAAGGCCTTCTCGGGCAGAGTGTGCCACAGACCCGCGTCCGCGCAGTGTATGTTCATGGTGATGGTGTCCGCATAGGCCCGGATCACCCTTTGTACGTCGTGCTCCTGGAAGGCCTCCGAGAAGTCCGCCACAGAGAATGTTCCGTCCTGCATGGGAACGAGTTAGGTTAGGTTAGGAACTCAAGGAGATCGGATCGTGACCGTGACTCACCTGCAGTATCCAGGAACCATTTCCGCTGAAGGTGTAGCCGGCGTGGATGATGTGCCGGTGGCGGGTAAAGCTGCTGAGCAGGTTTCGCATGCATTGGATCAACGTGTTGTACTGCGGGTGGATGAGCACCTCCGTCACCAGATTCTCGCTGGCATACTGGATGAGTCGTTCGCCTGGAAGAAAGAAAAGGGTACAAACAAAGTTGTCATATTAGTTTTCTGGGTTCATTTTTGATTTTGCAGTCCGTCTAGCACAGATTTTATGGGCGGAAATGGAGTTGGTGGGATTAAGGCATCGCTTCCACTTGCATCCCTTTCTGATCTGACCTCTTTCTGTCAGGGGGCAGTCACACCGTCTGGGTGGTGCACAGTGCACGGTGCACTCCCCCGCCCACCATTTCCATCCCCTGATGAATGGATAAGCGGATGGTCAGAGGTGCTGCATCGGATGGCAGAGATGCCAGGGATGCCTGGGATGCCAGGCACGGACTTGGACTCGAGCACGCACGGCGCATCAAGTGGATTTGGATTGTCAAGCGTTGGCTTTATTGTCTCGACGGCTTTGGCATCCCAGCAGCATCCCCTTGATGCGCCGTTGCCATGGATAGAAATTATTTAATGAATCTTTAATTTTAATGCTTTAATTAAGCCCTCAGTTGTGTGGTTCTCAGGTTGGTGCGACCTTGTCGGCGACCTTGGCCACCTCCCACCTTCCACCTCTATCCCTAGGTTACCACATAACAACGATGATGATGATGATGATGATGAGACAGATGAGGGCTATGATGAGGCTTTTTCGGTTCGCCCTCGTCCGAAATGGTTTTATGCGAATACGAATGCGTACGTACGTAAATAATTTACGCATTTTCCGCACTAAATAGTCGTTGACAAGCCAACTGCAGGGTGGATGGATAAGCGGATGGATGGGTGCACCACCACCCATCACCCATTATATACCACCTCCCCAGGGGCAGTGGTCAAATGTGCTCACGTACGCGTAAAAAATACAAGACAAGAGCATCGGTGGATGGCTGTTGGTCAACTCGTATGGCTTCCTCTCTGTCCAGCTGTTGGGCCTGTGTCGTGTGTATCCCTTGTGCTTTTTATAAATGATAATCTCGACGACCCAACCCAAACCAACAGAACCCAACCTGCGTGTTGTCCTACGGCTTATATTTCACGCACCAAGCTCGGAACAGCGAACGCAGTGACATATATAGGTAGGTAGATATATATACATATACCGACAGCCTGTGCGTATACGCAATTTGGCGAATTTAGGTCGCCTACTACCTCGGGAGCTGTCTCTGCCATTTTTCTACTTTAGCTTCTTTTTGCTGTCCCTAGCACAGGGCATAATCGTAAGAATGTTTAGTTTATAACCGGGCTGTAGACGTCGCGTCCTGGGGAAAGGGGATCGCAGGGGTAGTGGGTTGTAGGTAGTGGGTAGTGGCCTGGGGCCAGGCGACATTAGCATCGTGGTGGCCAAGTCACCGCCAAGTGGCCTACACATCAAGGTGGTTCCCCCGGAAGGGGAATAAACTGGATTCGAATGGTATGGAATGGAATGGAATGGCATGCGGACTCGGATGCAGTGGGCTATAAATTCCAATTGAAATAGGGCTTCAAGTTGACTGTCAATTTGCTGGTAATCTCTTTGCGCCTTCTTGCTTCACTGGATTTCAATTTGAGACCAATCGAACTGGCAAGAAACAAGATACCGATCACATAAATAACCAGAGTCTACTATTCTATTTCGATATGCCTAAGGTATGCCTTGATTTTAAACCGCTTCAAAACCAACCCCATAATAATAGTGGATAGTGGACTGTCTAGTGGAACAGGGCACTTGAAAAGTTTAGCGGCCTGTCAGCGGTCAGGAGTGAGTGGTCCACTTGAGGAGTGGCCAAAGTTGGCCAAACCGCACACCCACGCACAATGAAAAGTTGCAGCAAGGGCTCAGTCAGTTGCCACTTGACAAATAATACCGAACGGAAATGAGGAGAGAATGGTCTAGAATCCGGACTCGGATCCTCATCCATAGAATAGCTATGCTGTCCTGGCCGCACCTCAACCCAAAGTGGCAACATGGCGCCAGATTAACCGTTAATAACTGCAACCGGCTTTGGACCAGAGTTACGAACTTTTCCAAAACAAAGGGAGAAATAGGGTAAAAAAAAAAATTTGCATAACACCAGCAGCCGGAAACTTTTTGTGTTTTATGATTTCGTTTTACTTTTTTTTCGGCTCTTTTTTGTTTGGCTGCAAAGTAATTACAGTTATAGGCGCCGGTCGGCCCTTCTCCTGACCTCCCATCCACCCTTTTGCCCACTTTTGAACCCAAGTCGCCACCACAGTTGGAAAAAGTTTACTGTCAAACCAACGCGCACGTGTTAAAAAAAGTTTCCAATGACCTTTTGCGCCCTCCTCTTTCAAGCTCCGCCCAAAAAAAGACGGAAGTCTTCCAAATTAAATAATGAGGCAACTCATTGAGTTTAAATTTAAATCTTCGCCAGGCCTTGGGAAACCATTTTCTAGGAATACTTTTCTTTAAGATATATTATGGGGATAGCTATTATTATTATTATTTGTAGAAGAAGGGTCAGGAAATGCCCGATGGTCTTCCGTATTTCGTATTCCATATTCCGTGTAAAGTCACATTAATAATATATCCCCATTTTCCAGTTCTGCTTCCGTAGCTCACATATGGCCAGGTCATCCCCCAGCTGATGAATGATGTATATTAACGCTGTGCATATTCATGTAGCTGTGAATTTCCCACGGCTCATCTTCTTGTTCTCAGCTCCCCCGAGTGGGTGGGTGGCCGGCTTAATTGGCTGCGCTTATCCCGACCTGGCAACATGGCCATATTTATAAACGCCCAGTACACTAATCCCTGGGAATTATGATGATGATAGTTTAATTAGCGGTTTCAGCTGCATTGTGAGAGAATATTGGGGGGAGGTGCTGTGTGCACGTGGCATCCTTATGTGTATGTATCAATATCAATGGTTGGTTGGCTATCCAGGAGCAAAGGCATCGGCCACTGGCCATCGCCCATCATTAATCAGGCCACATAATATGCTGGAATCTTCTCCGGTTACGTAAATGTAGATGGACTCATGGGCCACTCAGAGGAACATTTGGGGAGGTGGAGTGAGCTCCTGTTGAACAAAGCCAATAACATGTTGTAAACGTCAAGCGATGTGTTCTCACATTTTCCCAACCGTGATGGTGGCACAAAATTAAAAGGATGCGGCGCGAAGAGTCTCCGCAAATGACAGACGTCAGCTGTTCCACCCTTCTCGCTGATATTAATTGATGTCCTGTCAACATGTTACCCGCATTCCTTGTCTACAGACACACTCGCCACTTCTCGCTGCATCCCTCTCTACATCATTATAGTTTATTTGCTTATCGCGGCTGGACCAGACCAGTTGTCCCACCCAATTTTCCACCCAAACCAAACCAAAGACCACCCCCCTCTCCACACCCAGTATGCAAATCATGTGTAAAAAAAACGAATTTCATGTGGGTGTGTCAGTTAGTCAGTCTGGCAGTCTGCCTTTGCTATTTGCCCAACTGCTTTTCTCCCTTTCTGTCACATACAAATAGTCCATATTGCCCGTCTCTTTCTTCGGCTGAATTATGCATGAGCCTCAGTCACACACACACACACACACATGGCCATTGTCAATACGGCCTTGTAGGCACGCCTGTGTGCGTGACTCCCACTCACTTTCCATCTCACTCGCTCTATTCCACAGATATATGTAGGCATGAGCCCTCGTATATTTCCCTATATTCGTTTAGATGTGTGTGTAGACGGCACGGACGGACTCTATCTTTCTATCAATTTTGCATACGCTTTTATCTCAAGAATTTGTATGGCTTTTCAGGTTAGGTTGGGTCGTGATACGGCTTTGGTGTCCTATTGTGCCACGCCCTCTCATCAGACCATCTTTTCATTGCTTATGTGGGATTCGGCTTAGGCACGATAAGAATGTGTCTAAATCCCCAGATAATCCCAAGAGCGGGTTGGGCAACAAAATGGGGTACTATGTAGAACGAGTGCGGGAGGCGTGAGAACTCAAGGATCGCAAGGTTGGAGAAAATATGTTGGCAAGTGAAGCTGAGACCCAACAAATTATAGAGAACAGAACGCGCTAACAAGAAGGAAAGTGCAATGAACATCATGTAAGGTGCAGCGAATGAGAACAGCGAGAGAAAACGATGGTATTGTGAGTGTGTAGTGTAGAGTAAAAACATCGAGTTAGAGTAATGAGCGAGTGAGCGTAACGAGTGTAAAGGACAAATAGCAAGTAGGGCAGGGAAAATCGCCATTGCACATCCCACCATCTTTTTCCTAACGAAGCCTGTCTTTATCACGCGAACCCATGGGGCGTTTTCTTGATAGGGTGGACTTTAAAAGTTGACAGCGAGTGAGCGTAACGAGTGTAGAGGACAAATAGCTAGTAGGGCAGAGCAAATCGCCATTGCACATCCCACCATCTTTTTCCTAACGAAGCCTGTCTTTATCACGCGAACCCATGGGGCGTTTTCTTGATAGGGTGAACTTTTAAAGTTGACAGCGAGTGAGCGTAACGAGTGTAGAGGACAAATAGCGAGTAGGGCAGAGCAAATCGCCCATCGACCATCTTTTTCCTAACGAAGCCTGTCTTCATCACGCGAACCCAGGGGGGCGTTTTCTTGATAGGGTGGACTTTTAAAGTTGACAAACTTTTCCCGTCCCACAAGGAAACTTAAGTAAACTGCATCAAGCTCAGTTTTTGGCCTGCACAAAAAGAAGAAGAAATGCTGATGAGGTTGAGGGTCAGTGTCGGGGTTTGAGGCCAACGTTGGACGTGAATTTGTGAGAAGGCAGAAGGGAGTTGGTTTTCATGAATCATGTGCTTGTTAACGAAATTTTGCCGTTAAAGAAAAACCTTCAGCCAGCACCCTGGGCAGTTTAAGAAGTCCATCCTCTCGCTTCGGAGGCAGCCATGCAGGAAGGTGGACAATTTGGACACTGACGCTCCTTTGTCGGCTTTTTTTTCGTATTTTATTCCTCTTGGGATCCCTGGATAGGGACGAGGATCTCTGGCGAGCACAATGAGGCCGGCGAAGCGAATGCATTCTGTGCATTCTCAATCGAGCCTCAAGTGGCCCATACCCCCACAGGTCCTCATCCTCCTCTGGTTTATGCTTATGGCTGTTGCACCACCATCATTATTGGTCTCTGGACCGCTCTGTGGCGGCACCACTTGAGAATTTTGTTTAAGTAGTTTCGAGGGGGGAACGCAAACAAAATGCGATTGCGAATGCAAATGGAAAATGGAAAAGCCGCTGTCGTTGCCAACTTTTCCCCATCCGGACAATGGCTAAATGGAGGGCATTGAGCGCAGGTGTTGCACTTAGCATGTCCTTCAAGGACAACGCCTCGGCGTCGCCATCGCCATCGGCATCAAGCAAGAGGCCTGCCAAGAAGAAGAACGCGCCTTATCACTGCCAAGTCCGGGGCCTCTCAAGCATACTTTTCCTTTCATTGTCGCTTGGAAATAATGTCCTCCAAAGGGAGAGTTTTTCCCACGCCGGGCATATTCAAAAAAGGGGCTTGAGAAATCAAAGTTAACCGTATGCAATAATAGTAAGTATAGAAGTATAAAATCAAAAGGGAACTTTCAAGCTCTTCCAAATTTTAGACCAACTTTAATAAACAAGGCAACATCTTCATGGATGGATTGAATCATAGCCAGTGAGACTGCGGGATTTTGATCAAATTGCACGGCTTGTGGGGAATAGAAGAAGATGAAGATGAAGATGGAACAACAAATCCCAATCATCTCCAGAGCAAGTCAACAAAGTGGGCAAACAGCAAAGAACGCGGAAGCGGGACTTGCTGGATGCAGTGGCAGCCACTTGAGTGCGTTTCAACAGCATTTTAGACTAATCCGCAAAGACAACAGTGCCGTCAGTCAGCTTATTGTTGCTCCTGTCGATGGCGATGAGGATGATGATGATGTTGAGGATGATGATGATGATTGTGCTGTATGCTGCTGTTGCACTTGGGCAAATGAAAATGCAGCTGCTTTTGGGCCCGGGGTTTATCACAAAAGCCAAAACAACAAAGCAGCCAAACAACAAAGCATGAAAGCGTTGAGCTTTCGGCTTTTGTGCATTCAATTGTTGTTCATCCGAGGAGCCCATGCCCTCCGGAATCTGGAATCCCCACTGTTGTGGACAGACAATTGTCATAATAATTCGTTGGAATAACTTTTGTAATTTAACACAACAACCATTGTTGCTGTTGCCCGATTCAAATTCGATGATCTCTGTGGAATGGCACAGCGATTGCCTAATTGGCTAATTGGGGTTATGATATGATAATGATATCGTATATATATATAGTTTATAATCGGAATTTGGACTTACCGTGACGAGCCTCCTCGCCCTCGGGCGCATGTTGTGTAATTGTATTGAGCTCCTCTTCCAAGTCGACGTGACAGTCGGAAACGTCCCAGGAGAGGAAACCTGCAAGAAAAAAGGAAAAGGCATAAGGTAAAAGAAGATCAGTGAAGAATGAAAGAAGTAAGGTTGTGTTAAATAAATTAAGGCCTTAATTTTTAGTTTAATTTAATTTATATATAAAATCAAAACTGGTATATGCTATAGTTTGTCACAACTTTTTATAACAATAACCAAGCAAGTGTCATAAGGACCTTAAGACCTTTAGTGTGGGAATCATTATGTCATCCCAGACATTAATGTTAAATGGTTAACTTATAACTAGCCGGGAAATATAAGACAGATAACAGTTCTTCATTATGCACATGGAAATGCATTAGTTGAATAAACGATGGATTTAGTTCGAGAACTGGTACCAGGATCATTCCGTTTGCCTTGGGGCCATTCATCACTCGCACATTAGATCTGTGTAATTATGCACAACGTCTGTGAACGGTTGGCAATGCGCAGTTTTGATAAATGACCTAACAAGGGGGGGCGAGGGTCAAAAACAGGGGGTCAAGAGGGAGCTGTCGAGGTCACAATACGCATGGACTGAACTAAACTGAACCGAACTGAACTGGACGCACCCCGAACGCCTTTTGATATTTGTTTGGCCTGACGTTGTAGCTGTGTATTATGTCATTTAGTCAACAAATTAAGTCAGCAGTCCGACTTCACAACGTGAGCATTTGCAAATACAGGCCCAAAACGACGTGGGCCGGGCTCTTCCATCATTTTCATGCTCCATGCTCCGGCTCTCCCCACATTTTCCATAGTTTTGCCCTCCTGTGTGTTTTTTCCATTTATGAGGATGCAGCATGGCATGAAGAGCTCAAGGGGGCCAGGGCCAGGGGCAGGTGTGTGTGCCGGTAAATTAATCAAATTACTTTTGGGGCACTCGGAAGCTCAGACTTTAAGCCCTACGTGACAGGTTCAAGGGGCCACGAGCAGAAAAGGAGCCAAGCATACACCCGTACAACCAACCATCCAAGGAGGAGCCCCTTTAATTTCCATGATCTGACAGATTGTAAATTATCCCTAAGCCCCTTGGAAAATTTAATGAACCCTCCGAAGACCCCGGCATCGTAACGTTCTTGTGAATAACTTATTCAAACGATGCCTTAATGAGTGCTTAACTTTCATTTTTATACCGCCGCCGCCGCCGCCAGGAGATGCAAATGAAGCGCTTTTCCGCGGGGAGAGCATAACTGCTGCCATGCAATATCATTGAATGGCAGATGGTTTCAGATCATCAGCCACGTGGAGGTGAGTTAGCCCAATCCCAAGACCAAGCCAAAGTCTAAGCCAGAAAAATATAACAATATTACCCTTTTGCCCCGCTTTCGCCCTTCACCGCTCACTGCGGCAATTTGCACAAATGGCTGGCAACAGCAACAAAAGCGGCCTAAAAAAAGTGAACTCGAGGCATAAAAATGTAAAATCTTAACACTTTTCAACCAACCCGCACACACACACACTCGCTGACTATATAGTATAAAGCCAGATTCAGGCAGGATCAGGACATTGTGTGGGCAAACAAAAGGGAAAGCGAAGAATAAAGCAAAGGCAGAGGCAGCCGAGAAAAAAAGAAAAAAGGGGCAGACGACGGCAGCCAAAAGCGCCTACAGCGATTGCACAAAAATAATGAGGAAGCGCGCCCAGGATATGCGACGCCAGCATGTACTATATATATATATATAGATATATATATATACGTATATATAAAGTAAGGATAAGGATATATGCGGTGGGACCTTCCCTCCTTCCTCTGAGCAATCATCGAGCGAATGAAGCCACTCAGACGGAGGCGAAAGACAGCGGCGGAAACGTTACAGAAACCGAATCCTCAACCGAATCCTCAACCGAAACCGAATCCCCGTCCCGATTCCGATTCCAAGTCCAAGTCAGAACCTCTGCCATCGCCCCTCGCCGTCGCTCATTTATTATTTGTGCGTTGATATCTGTGAGTGAGACTTCAATTTGCCCAGTGCCAGGGCCAGACTCTCTGCTTATTTATTATTTATTTATATTTAATTTTTGGCTTAACCCCAGCAGCTCCCTGCTGTTTTAACCAACAAAAAAAATGGAAAACGAAAGTTGCTTGCTACCACTGAAACACAAGTAGGTCGACATTATAACTTTATGTATTTTCATGTTAATAGTCAGTTCAATGGAATTGAAACTTTTGAAAGAGGTTACATAAGGAGTAATCGAAATGTATAGTTCTAGCTTAACATATTTATAATGTCCCCAGATTCTGGGTTAGCTATGTAAACACCTTTGTAAATCTGTTCTATATCAACTAATCCATGCCTTGGCATTATCCCATTCACATTTCCCAATTTATACTTTAACTTGCAGTACTACTAGGTTAAGTAACTAGCTTATTGCATTATGACACTGGCTTGATTTTTGACCTATTGGCTAGATATATTTCAAAAAGCCATGAGAACCTAAGGAAAAAGGGGTTACAGATCAAGAACAGTTTGTGAATTTAAAAGCAGATATGATATGGCTTATCATAATTTTTCAAAATAAATGCAGTCAGCTAGTGGAAATTAAAGTTAGTGTCATGTATCCATAAGTGTTATAAGTTGGAGGACCTTATAAGGGGCTACAAATCAACCTCATTTTATAAATTTTAAAACAGAAATGATATGGGGTTACCATAACTTTTTAAAATAAATGAAGTCAGTTAGTGGAAATTAAAGGTAGTATCATACGAGTATATCCATAAGTATTATATTATAAGTTGGAGGACCCATGGACTATACTTGGCCGATCTCATTTATAAACAGATATGATATGGGGTTACCATAACTTTTAAAAATAAATGAAGTCAGTTAGTGGAAATTAAAGGTAATATCATACAAGTTTTATCCATAAGTATTATAAGTTGGAGGACCCATGAACTATACCAGGCCAATCTCATTTTTTGCGCATCCCCGCACAAGGGCCGCGGGCCCTTTGATTCCGATTGCGATTCTGTTTCTGTTTCTGATTCCGATTCCGATTCCCCTACCCATTATCCTGTGCACTCGCTGCGATTGAGCGCCCGACAGCCAGGTAATCGAATGCAGACGTGTCAGACAGACAGACACCTGTTTCCTGTGTCCGGGGTCCTCGATTCTCGGCTCTACATCCCCATTCCATCTCCATGTCACCGGGGGGACACATCCTCTGAGGCCCTGGAGCACCGAAGCCCTGTAACCACGCCCCTGGCAACCCACTGCGACACCTATGTGTTCCTGCTCGTGACGCCGCTTCCGCTTGCCATGGATGATTACTGATAGGCGTCCCTACCCGCTTTTCCCCTCTCGTTGGCAGCAAATAGTTGCATAATTCTACGCGCCCCCCTCGAAAAGCCACTCTACTACATCTACTCTACATGGGCGGCGATGGGCAGGGGGAGCAGTGTTGATTTTGATGTAGCTAAAAAGCCACTTGACGTTGTTCGTTCGTTCGTTCGTTGTTGCCAGGCCCTTGAAGCCAGAAAAGCGCGTTGAAAAAGTTTGCATAGCCAAATGAATGCGCTTCTCCTACAGCCTTCGCCCCCCCCCCCTTCCTAGCCAAACAACCCCCCCTTTTAGATTCAGATTCAGAAAAAGAGCGGCAGAAAGTGCAACTGTTTTTGAGAGGGGGGCAGAATGGCGCAAAAGGGGCTAAATGTTTGGAAATGCATAAATAAACACATTAAAAAGAAATTAAACACTTGCACCCATTAATTGCGTATTGAGTCAAGTGGATGGCAAAGAAGAACAAGCTCGAGATGAAGATGAATCTCAAGGAGGAGGAGTGGAACCCCAGGATGAACTGCTGAAGGACAGCCAACCAAGTGGGTGAATAAAGGGAGGGCGGTTATCTCCCAGTTGGGTGGTGAAAAATAGAAAGCAGAGAGGCAATAACAATTAAAGCGAATCGAAAGTAAAGTAAACGAGGCGCAGCAAATAACTGGCTCCTCGGATCGCATCGGAGTCCTTTGTTGTGACAGGTCCTGGACGAGGACGAGAACGAGAATGAGGATGGAAAAGAGGATTGGGCCGTGGATGAGGGCCAAAAAGGAGGACAACAAAAGCGAAAACAATGCTGCGCCTGATTGCCCCGTGCCGATAAGGCCAGCTTGATGAGCCAAGACACACGGACAAGGACATCGGACATCGAACATCGGACACGCTGTTGATGTTATTGCGCACCCAGCGATATGTATATCCCGATAAGGATTGTAATTAATTGGAACTCGAACTCATGGGAGGTCGATAAAACACCATCAAAAGGACGCTTCCCTCAGATCCTTAAAGTATAGCATCGAAAAAGAATGTTAAAATTAATAAATATAGTACTACCAAGTTTAAAATTCCTATATCCTTTCGTTTTCATTGGAATAAGATTTTTCACTTCACAGAGGGAAATATTCAAGTAAATTGTTCTTGAATTGAGAACATTCGTTCTTAAAAACCGAATAAAAACATTTTGGTATCAATGTTCTCAATGTAAGAACAAAATGGTGAGAAGAGAAAAGTAAAAATATGTAAATTTAACAACTTTTTGATAAGTATACACTACTCACATGATATATATATATAGATTTACTAAGCCAAACTAGTCCGAATATCTTTTTGGAAATGAGTTCCGATCTAAAAGGTATATTACTTTCTAGTTTTAGTATTTTTTAATTGAAAATCGGAGAACAGCCGTGGAGAATTGCGTCATATTGGGACATGCGTCATTATCTAATGGCTCTTGTCCCCACTGCCCATAATCTACCATCGCCTCCACTGCTGAGTCATGTCCAATTTCGGTTGCTCCTGGTGTCCTGTCCCCAGTACCTCATCCTCCAATCCTGGCTAGCTGGCTGGCTGGCATACATGACGAATGCGCAATATATTTTGAAGTGTTGTGTTCCCCCTAATGGCTAATCAATGTTTATAGGCTACCGCTAGGCTACAAAACAGCGGAGAACAATAAACGGGAATTTGTGTGTGCAAACGAGGCCAAATGATTGGACAGCGTTTTTGGTTTTTGGC